TTTTTATTATGTTATATTAAAGTTTAATATTTTGATAATAATCATATGTGTTTGACTTTTCAAGAATTTTTTTTTTATGCTTGTTCTTAATGCATTAAAGTGTTATTATGAGGGATAATAATCGTATGTGTTTGGACTTTTCAAGGAATTCATATGTGTTGGATTTCAAATAATTTTTTTTATGCTTGTTCTTAATGCATTAAAGTGTTATTATGAGGTTAAAACTTGAGAATTGGAAGAAGTTAATAAATGCTAATATTTTTTTTTTAAATAAAAAAATCAGGAAATTTAGATTGAGAGATTGGAGCTCCCACAAGGCTTGGAGTTAAAAATCTCATTTTGCTTAATATATAGTATATAAGTATAGATTGTTTGCATTATGGAGATTTTAAATGCAGATTAGAGATTTTGACCAAATCAATAAATGTAGGTATGTGAAAAGACATGTGAATTGAAAAAAAGTTAATAAATGCTGATCAGGAGATTTTGACCAAATCAATAAATGCTGAGTTTTTTTTTAAATAAAAAATTTAGAAAATTAAGGTTGAGAGATTGGAGCTCTATGTGAATTGTGATTTTTAATTTTTTTTTTATTATTGTTTTTAAATGTCTTCTTTTTTTCTTTTTTTTATATTATATTAAAATTTAATATTTTGATAATAATCATATGTGTTAGACTTTTCAAGAAATTAAATATTTTTTTATTATTATATTATATTAAAGTTTAATATTTTGATAATAATCATATGTATTGGACTTTTCAATAATTCTTTTTATACTTGTTTTTAATGCATTAAAGTATTATTATGAAATATAATAATCATATGTGTTGGGACTTTTCAAAGGATTCATATGTGTTGGATTTCAAAGAATTTTTTTTATGCTTGTTCTTAATGCATTAAAGTGTTATTATGAGGGTAAAACTTGAGAGTTGGAAGAAGTTAATAAATGTTAAGATTTTTTTTTTAAATCAAAAAATCAAAAAATTTAGATTGGGAGATTGGAGCTCGCACAAGGCTTGGGGTTAAAAACTCATTTTTGCTTAATATATAGTGTAGAAGTATAGATTGTTTGCATGAGGAGATTTTAAATGCTGATTAGAGATTTTGACTAAATCAATAAATGCAGGTATGTGGAAAGACATGTGGATTGAAAAAAAATTAATAAATGTTGATCAGGAGATTTTGACAAAATCAATAGAATAATGTTTCAGAGCTCGAATTCTTTCCCCCCGAATCCCCCTAATGCCCAAAACGACGTCGTTTTGGGCATTTTTTTTTTTCCTTCGTCTTCTTCATGCAGCTCTGAGACAGGGAGAGGGAGAGGGAGAGGCAGGTCGCAGCTCGTCGCCGTCGCAGGGAAGAGCTCGTCGCCGGGATGTCGCAGCTCGTCGTCGCAGCCCCGTCCCTGGCAGCCCCTGCCTCTGCCTCTGCCTCCGCCTCCACCCCAATTTATTTGGCCCCCTCCAGTCCTTCGCCGCCGTCTGCCTCTGCTTCTTCTTTTTCCCTTCTTCCCTTCGTCTGTTTCTTCTTCTTTGATTGAACCAAAAAAAAATAAAAAATTTCAAAAATACGAAACGACGTCGTTTTTCGTTTCGGGGGATTAGAGGGGACGCCCTTTCGAGCTACGTAGCACGGCCCAAATCAATAAATGTTAAGTTTTTTTTAAATAAAAAATTTAGAAAATTAAGGTTAGGAGATTGGAGCTCTATGTGAATTGTGATTTTTAAATATTTTTTCTATTATTATTTTTAAATGTCTTATTTTTTTCCTTTTTTATATTATATCAAAGTTTAATATTTTGATAACAATCATATGTGTTGGACTTTTCAAGGAATTAAATGTTTTTTTTTATTATTATATTATATTAAAGTTTAATATTTTGATAATAATCATATGTATTGGACTTTTTAATAATTTTTTTTTATACTTGTTCTTAATGCATTAAAGTATTATTATGAAAGATAATAATCATATGTGTTTGGACTTTTCAAGGAATTAATATGTGTTGGATTTCAAAGAATTCTTTTTATACTTGTTCTTAATGCATTAAAGTGTTATTATGAGGGTAAAACTTGGGAGTTGGAAAAAGTTAATAAATGCTAAGATTTTTTTTTTTGTAAATCAAAAAATCAGGAAATTTAAATTGGGAGATTGGAGCTCCCATAAAGCTTGGGGTTAAAAATTCCCTTTTGCTTAATACATAGTATAGAAGTATAGATTGTTTGCATAAGGAGATTTTAAATGCTGATTAGAGATTTTGACCAAATCAATAAATGTAGGCATGTGAAAAGACATGTGGATTGAAAAAATGTTAATAAATGCTGATCACGAGATTTTGACCAAATCAATAAATGCTGAGTTTTTTTTTTAAATAAAAAATTTTAAAAATTAAGGTTCGGAGATTGGAGCTCTATGTGAATTGTGATTTTTAAATGTTTTTTTATTATTATTATTTTTAAATGTCTTCTTTTTTTCTTTTTTTTTATGGGCAAATTACAAACACCTCCCTCGAGGTTTTGTAAAAATACAGATTCCCCCCTGACGTTTGAGAAATTACATCCCACCCCCTGAGGTTTATATTTTCATAACAAATTGCCCCCTGAGGTTTTTATTTTCATACAGATTCCCCCCTAATTTTTTCTAATTTGTTATGAAAATTTGACTCTCAGGGGGCAATTTGTAATTTCTCAAATCTCAGGGGGAATTTGTATTTTCACCAAACCTCGAGGGGGGTGTTTGTAATTTGCCCCTTTTTTTATTATTATATTATATTAAAGTTTTATATTTTGATAATAATCGTATGTATTGGACTTTTCAAGATTTTTTTTTGTACTTGTTCTTAATGCATTAAAGTATTATTATGAAATATAATAATCATATATGTTGGGACTTTTCAAGAAATTCATATGTGTTGGATTTCAAAGAATTTTTTTTATACTTGTTCTTAATGCATTAAAGGGTTATTATGAGGGTAAAACTTGAGAGTTGGAAGAAGTTAATAAATGCTAAGATTTTTTTTTTATATCAAAAAATCAAGAAATTTAGATTGAGAGATTAGAACTTCCAGAAGACTTAGAGTTAAAAACTCCCTTCTATTTAATATATAGTATAGATTCGTAAACGGTTTAGTTTGTTCAAGATTGAGAAAAAGCTCAGTAGTCAATCAAATATTTCGGTTTTGTTAATTAATTAAGGGACTGAAACAGATTGCAAGCTATTGTTCAATTTTATGAGATTTGTCAATTTGGTGTAAAAGAGTGATTCAAATGAGATTATTATTACTATTATTATAATAAAAAGTTATAGAATCTTACATTAAAAATAAATGAAGAAAAATGGTGCAAAGTTATTCTTTCAATTTATACCTTTCTAATTTTTATGAGTGATGTTAGAGGTTTTAAAAGTTCTATTAAAATTTCTACCAAATATCTCATATAGATATAGGACCCACATCATGTGGGTCTCATGTGGGTCTCATACCCATATGAGACATTTGGTAGAAATTTTTGAAATTTCTAACATTTTTGAATTTTTATTAGCAACCGTGTTTTATTTGTAATTTATCTTTTAATATTTAAAGAATTAAAATATAAAAGTATTATAAATGTTATTGACTAATTTTTTAATTTTATGATTAATAACACAAAATACAACTATAATTGAGATTAAATATTTTTATATTTATTGCAAAACAATTGTGGAAAAGAAAAAATTATGTATTTACCTAATCTAACTAGATAACCAAATAATACCCTAATCTCATAATTAATTCTCTCACTATTAATCATACTAACCAAACATGGCCATAAATAATACCAAACAGGATAAAATGACAATCAAATAAACTAAATAAATTCACTTATAAATGTTACTACACAGGCATTGTTATGCAAGAGTGGGCCAAATTTTCTAGTAAGCACCAACACGACACCAAGGCCGTGATCAGCATTTGAGCACATTGTCCAATCATTTTGAGACAATAATGGGGAGAATTCTATTTATACCCAAAAAAAAAAAAATTATTTAAGTAAGTCTAATTTTTTAGTATATTCTATTAAATTATTTAGGATTATAATTTATTCTCATTACATTTTTTTTTTCCCTCACTAAGTTACCATTTTGAAGTACACCCAAATAAAATAAATTAAAAAATTCAAATTAGTTTTGAAAAACTTTTCTTTTGAGTTTAAGATTAGTGACTTGTTTTGTTATTAATCTAATACATATTGTTTTTTTTCAAATAACCAGCGTAATGGATATCTGCCGAAATCAGTCAAAATTAAAACTTGATTTTGATATATATATACAGATATGTATCTATACATATAAGTTCATTATATTTAACCTAATTTGCATAATAATACACCAAAACTTAATGGCCTGATTGTACTCTTAATCTACATGATTAGAACAAACAAAATTCATGATTTAGTAAAATAAGAAACATAAACACAAATTTAGGGTTAATGTATATCATATTTTATTTTAATATTTAATATGTAATGTCTTTATTAGTAAATTCATATTAAGGGGTTGTTTGGGGTGTCATAAATAAGTGCACTTTTTATTTTTTTAAACTAAAAAATTGAGGTTGAAAATATGGATGTTTGGGTTAACTTTTGACTTTTTATGAAAAAATGTGTAATAAAAAATTGTAAAAATTGATTTGTAAAAAAAATTCGAATTGGGAGTTGTGCAGCCGTAATTGTTGACTTTTGATGAATAGTGTTAACTTTTTAACTTTTTGAGTAATTTTTTGACTTTTTAATTTTTTTACAAGTTTTCAGACTTCACCTAAGTATAATAGGAATCAAAAATTAAAAATTTAAGTTAAACGTACTGAGATGATTTTTGAGTTAAAATAGAATGGCTCAATAATGGCCGATTGGGGCCCATATTTTAAGCCCAAGACCAGCCCATAATGGAACAGCTATTGGGCTAATTATTGCACATCTTTACAGTGGCAATTCGAGTAAAAACCAATGTAATATTGGGACACTTGGGTCTTTTAAGCAAACGAGGGTACGGTGCACTCTAAAACCCTAGTTGGGAACCCCATTCTCATCATACATATATATCACGGCCGAAGTAGCAGATCCAGAGCGAGAGCATCCAGCAGCTCGAAAACAATGGGTACGCTACGCATTTCTCGGTCTCTTCTCTGTAACCCTAGATTTTGTTTGCTCTCAATATCATTATGTGTGAACCCTAGTTCTTGCTTATCACGACGCAGACAGTGAACTCATTGATTGATTATATATATACATATTTACGTGTGTTTGTTTATATATGAATCCCAATCTGTAGTCAATCCTTCATTTTTTCTGTTTTCCATTTGACATGAAGCTGAATAATATATATATATATATATATATTTGATTTATTCGTTTTGTGTTTCATTTTCGTTCAAAGACCTGTTCTTTCAATATGATCTCATTTTTTAGAATTGTGATTCAAGGTTGTTCTTACGGCGTTGTTAAGGAAAATTGACTTTAAGTTTTGTCAATTTTTTGAGTTTTTTTGTGTCTGCCTACATCCAATTTTAAGGATGATTATAGACAATCAAACACTGAACGTCTCTATTTTTCTATTCGTTTGCTGGTATGAATTTGAGCTGTAAATTCTAAATTTCATTTTGATTCATGTGAGGCCTTTTATAGCCCTTTTTGGTATCACTTAAGCTTTTATAATTTTAGTTTTTTAATTATTAGCTTTAAAAAATTAAAATAAATTGAAAATTTATTTGGTGTGACTTTTGATATTCTTTGAAAAGAAGTTAAACTTGTATGGTTAGCTGGTTACATAACTTTTTACAAAGCTATATATTGTAACTTTAGAAAATCTCACCTTTTTGTTTGGTTTTTTTTTTTTTGAGATAAATAAGCTGAAAAAGTTATGTAATTTATTTTTAAAAATTGCAACGAAGCTCCATTAGTCAACTTTTTTTTTAAGCCAATAAGCTAAATAAGTTGACTTATAATTGCTACCAAACGGGGCTTATATTGTTATAATTATTAGGATTAGTTGTGGTGACATGCACACAAATACATGCTAGCACCGACATGCACTCAGAACCATCAGATACACAACACTGACAGCATGTAGATGTACAGTTCTAGACATTGATGAGTTCTAATTTATGATGTCTGAATAGGGGCTTACACTTACGTGTCGGAGCTCTGGAGGAAGAAACAATCAGATGTGATGAGGTTTTTGCTGAGGGTGAGGTGCTGGGAATATCGCCAGCTTCCTTCCATTGTGCGTGTCACACACCCTACTCGCCCCGATAAAGCTCGCCGGTTGGGTTACAAGGCCAAGCAGGTATTTAATATATATATATATTTAACAACCTCTTTGTGATGTCTTCTGATATATCTCTTAATTATGTAGCTGCTTTGTTCATTGATTCAGCCTGTGATAGATTGGTAATTTTTCTGATTTAAGATGAAATGTTGGATTTGGCCAACAAAAAAAAAGCTAATTATGTAGCTTAAGTTAGTTTAGTAATTTTGATAGGCATTGATGTTTGGGAATTATTGAGTTGCATTTTAAAGATTTCCAGTGGTAGTCAATGTATTTATTGAATTGCATTTTAGAGATTTCCATTGGCAGTCAATGAATATGCATGGATGGTAGGTAAGCTTAATGGTGCTTTTGATAGACAAGTTATCATGTGAAGTATGGTGTATTCATTCCTTATAATAATCAAATTTGGTGCATTGGCCTCTAGATATTACATGTGGTTGCCATTATGTGTGGTTTGATTGATTGTGATTTTAAAATTTTAAACTGAGTGAACAGTGAACATAATTTCAACAGCCTTTCTATATGCTTGGTTTTGTTTTAATATGAAATGCTTATCAAGTTTAATTTATCTTAATGGGTGTTTGTTATCATCACAATGGTCATTCTGGAATTTATGTTCTGATCAAAAGGATGGCAAGTTTGACAAATTCATACAAGTTGTTTACAACATCGAAACATGCATAGATGGTCTTAAGTTTTTGTTCTTTTCATCTTTCTGTTCATTGCCCCATTTTTTTTTTCCGTGGTAAAGTGGAAGGGGTCTTTGGGGGTGACGGGTGCCGTGTTGTCTAACCTTGTATGTAATGAATAGTGACGACACTGCAGGACTGTGGGAATTGTTTCTGCCTCTGTCTTCTGGTGTTTGAATATTTTACCTGCTTGTCTTCTTATGCATGGCAGCTGAAGTAATATTTTGTCCAGGGTTATGTGGTCTATCGTGTTCGTGTAAGGCGAGGTGGACGGAAGAGACCGGTTCCTAAGGGTATTGTGTATGGTAAACCCACAAACCAGGGTGTTACTCAGCTCAAATTTCAACGCAGCAAGCGCTCAGTTGCAGAGGAACGTGCTGGTCGGAAATTAGGCGGTCTTAAGGTTCTCAACTCATACTGGATCAATGAGGTTTGTAAGAAGAATTACTTGAGTCCACTTTTCACATGTCACTCTATGCCTTTTGTTCCTAACAGAACCTGAAGTTTTCATGCTCAGATTTCTATAAACAGTTTATTCTAGATACTAATAAGTAATAATATGCGAACTGAGATATTTTGTTTATCCAAAAAAAAAAAAAAAGTGAAAAAAAATGAAGATACTGTCCAGAAATAAAAATGTTAGAGAAATCCAAATGAACTTCACGCCAAATTATCAACTAACTCACAAGTTGTGGGCCCCACACCCATATGGATGTAGACACAGTTTCAGATGGCATTTGCTGTTGATGTAACAGAATGGTGGTGTTGATGTGGTTGCGGGATGTAATGGGCATAGCGTAACGGTTGCGGCAGCCGTTGCTCTGAAAATTTAATTATTTCATGTGTCATAAATTCATATTGCTTCACTATTTTATTAAACAAAATTCAGATATGCTTGTTAAGGCCGTGATGTTTTTTGCATGATGAAATGAATCAGATGGATTCCCAATGATTTCTCTATTTTTAGGGGATAATATCACAAGCTATTTCTGACTCATCATCATGTGCTCTCTCCAATCTCTCTATTTTTAAGATAAATGTATTTCAATTAGTTTTTAGTTTTATATTGTTAAAAAAAAAGGATAGACTGCTAATATTTACTCTTGACTTTCTTTTGAAGAAGAAAAGAAAGGCCGGTGATGTGAGTACAAATATTTGCTACTCTTGATTGGAGTTTTTTCAATTCCACGTGATGATTCCTATCCACCAAGATCTCTGAGGCCTCTTTTCTTTTCTTCTTTTTTTGTAAATTATAAACAAAATAATAATAAATAAATAAACATGTGTTAAAAGAGGAGAAAAAGAGCAAAAAATTGACTTTTAAATGTGGCAGACGCCATGACCACTGTAAGGTAATGGTGTTGTAATGGCCTGTTATGGGTGTTGACAGCTGTTAATCCCATGAAATTCACTCATTGCCTAATATTGCAATTCCTTGATTGGATTCCAAGAATTTGAGTGAATCAAGGGATCTATCGTTGGGCTATATTGAATACTATGTGTGTGTATATATCTATATGTATGTACGTCTTCCTTTAGCTCCGATTATTCTTATCTTATAAAGAATGGGATTTATCGGTGACAAGGTAGATACACAATTCTATTCGTGCATAATTTTTTATCTATTTTATCTCCATTTTTTGAAGACGTGTGTGTGGAATAGGCAGATTCAGATCTGCCTGTTAAGGCCATGATGATTTTTGGATGATGAAAAGAATCAGACGGATTCCCAATGATTTCTCTATTTTTTAGAGATGATATCACAAGCTAATTCTGACTCATCGTCATGTGCCCTCCTCAATCTCTATTTTTAAGATTGTTTTTTAATTAGGTTCTAGTTTTATGTTGTAAAAAAAAAAAAAGTAGATTGTTAATATTTACTCTTGACTTTGATTGAAGAAAAAAGGAAAGGCTGGTAATGAGAGTACAAATATTTGCTACTCTTGATTGGAGTTTTATCAACTCCACCTGATGATTCCTATCCACCAAGATCTCTGAGGTCTCTTTTCTTTATTTCTTTTCTTTTCTTTTTTTTTGGTCAGTTTTAAACGACAAAATAAAAAATAAAAAACACAAGCTGAAAGAGGAGAAAATGAACGAAAAATTGACTTTTAAATGTGACAGTTGCCATCGCCACTGTTAGATAATGGTGTCATAATGCCTGTTACAGGTGTTATGCAACGATGACAGTTACACCTGTGATTCATTCTACGCCTAATATTGCAATTCCTTGATTGGATTCCAAGAATTTGAGTGAATCAAGGGATCTATCGTTGGGCTATATTGAATAATGTGTGTATACATGTATCTATATGTATATACGTCTTCCTTTAGCTCCGATTATTCTTATCTTACAAAGAATGAGATTTATCGGTGACAAGGTAGATACACAGTTGTATTCATGCATAAGTTTTTATCTATATTTTTTAAGACTTTTGTGGGGAATAGACAGATTCAGATCTGCCTGTTAAGACCGTGATGTTTTATGGATGATGAAATGAATCAGACGGATTCCCAATGATTTCTCTATTTTTAAGAGATGATATCACAAGCTACTTCTGACTCATCATCGCGTGCTTTCCCCATTCTCTATTGTTAAGATGTATGTATTTAAATTAATTTTTAGTTTTATATTGTAAAAAAAAAAGAAGGTAGATTGTCGATACTTACTCTTTGACTTTGATTAGAAGAAGAAAGGAAGGGCCAGTGATGCGAGTATAAATATTTGCTACTCTTGATTGGAGTTTTTTCAACTCCAACTGATGATTTTTTAACCACCAAGATCTCTGAGGCCTCTTTTCTTTTCTTCTTTTTTATTTTTTATAAATAAATAAATAAAATTGAAAGAGGAGAAAATGAGCAAAAAAATGACATTTAAATGTGGCAGATCCCATCGCTATTGCAAGGATGAGGATCGTTAAACCCTGTGAAATTCAATCAGATCGCTATAGAACTTGCAGAACTCTTGTCCCCCATTTTTTGAAACTTTGGATGTAGACCCCGCATCTCAATGTGAGTAGTTAGTAATTTAGTTTGTAGTTTATTAGTAGTCTATAGATGGACTCGTCCCTATCGGATGATTGTAGATCTTTTGGCTTTATTGTGTGGCCGATTATTGATTTGACTTCCAAGAAACATGTGTCAGTTGCCCTATTCAGATCCATAAATGCCATTTAGTTATACAAATGTTGTCTTGAAGTCGGTATTTATAAACATCTCTACTTTTATTCTTTCAGGATTCTACTTATAAATACTTTGAGGTAATTTTGGTTGATCCTGCTCACAATGCAATCCGCAATGATCCAAGGATCAACTGGATCTGCAACCCTGTTCACAAGCACAGGGAGCTCCGAGGACTCACCTCTGCTGGGAAGAAATACAGGGGTCTCCGTGGAAAGGGCCACTTGAACCACAAGGCAAGACCATCAAGAAGGGCTACCTGGAAGAGGAACAACACACTTTCTCTTCGACGCTACCGTTGATTTTCTTGACGTTCTTATTATCAGCCTTGTTTTGGGAATTTTCGTTGTAGGGTTTTCTTGTTCTTGCTTTGAGACCAGTGTTGCCGGATTTACGTTTGTTGAACATGGTTTCTTGGGTTAACAATATCAAGTTGCATACTAGCTATATGGGGGATGTTTTGATCACATTATACTCTTTCAATTTTGGTTATTGGATTTTTGTTGGGACATTAAAATGGTTATAGTTGAGCATGAGATGTGTAGCTTGGTATTTCTTTATTCAAATCAATTTTTGGTCAATGTGATTGGGGGGTGGTTGGCAACTTATCTATTATCGATTGATGTTGTTGAAGTGTTATATCGCCCTGAGCTTGTGGTTGAGTTGTTTTGATGATTAAACTGGAATGGACTCTGAAAACGCTGAGTCTTGATGTATTGATGGTTTGTTCGCACAGGTTTAATGCTCTGCTGTCTTTCTGGATTGAGGAGCTTTCCTTTCTCTCTCACTTCTATGCAAGTGAATGATGCCAAATTTAGGTTGTACATTTTGAATATTGAATTGTGGTAAAGTGCAGTTTGGATTTGTTAAGCTAAAATTCTTGAGCAAGGTCTATGTTGTCATCGTTTGTGCACTAGCATTTAAAATTCCCGGGCAAATTTCCATCATGGAATACGATGAGTTTGTTGGATAGTTAAGTGTTTGATGGATTAAAATGAATAGCAAGTGTTTAATGGATTAAAATGAATGTAAACAGTGAGTGATAAAGGGAATTATTATTATTTTTTGGTTATATTTTAGCTAGAAGGTTTTATTTTATTTTATTTAAATTACATTGAACAAATTCTCTATTCATTATTTATTTTTATGTTTTAAATAATAATTTTATTCTTTTTAATTAAAATTTAATCTTTATAAACTTACTACAAATAGCATCGAAATATCAAAAGGTCCCTAGAGAGCGTCTCTCTCTAGGTGATTTCTGGCGGTGTTTTGGGGACACTTCAACGATCCACTTTACACTTTTAAAGTGTAGATTTATACTTTTAGAGTATAGATCTATAGTTTTTGACTGTAGATCTAGATTTTTTGTCTGAAATAGGAGTTTTGAGAGTTTTTTTTTTTGATTTTGACATAAATTTTTAGATTTTTAATACCCACAATGGTTTCTTCTCAGCTCTAACTTCTCATGGTATTCAATGTCTGCCATCGACAAAGTTGGGCAGCAGCGACGGGTACGACATCGACGGGAACAATAGGCTTTCAAGTAAATCTTGCTTTTCATATCACATCTTTGAGAAGATCGGAGGTTTTTCTTAGCTCATAGCTGTTTTTTTTGTGAATTTATTTTTTGTTTATTTTTTGTTTTGTTGTTTGGTTGGGATGACCTTTTAGGGTCTTATTTATGTAATGTTATTGTTTATTAATATAATGTTTTTCATGTTCTAAAATTAAAAATAAAAAAATTTAAAAAACAAAATGAAGAAGAAGAAGAAGAAGAAGAAGAAGAAAATATCACAAGTAATATTTTGTCTAACTCAAAATTCTAATTACATTTGTTGAGCCTATAGTACTAAAGTTAAAATAACTAACTTGATTTAGCAATGACGGATCCAATGTTTGAACTTTGGAGGGTGAAATCACATATAATTTTCATATTTTGAATTACTTTACTAATTATTAATATAATATATATAGTTTTACAATTGTTAGGATTGCGACTGTACCTTTAAATTTGAAAAATAATTCAATACTCTTAGAACGTATTCATACTCCTTCACTAATCATCATACACTATGCTTCCTTATATTCTTTAATCATCAAATATAAAATCAAGAATTTTATCTTCTCCACCAATCACAATATTTTGTGCTCTAAAAATACCACATGATTATACTCCAAGAGCACCCAATAACCACTCCTTAAATCCATTGTTGATTATTAGTTTAATGGAGTTAAATATTTGACGATCTAGTTAAGCTAATAAATAAAATTAACTATTTTTTATGAAAATGTTCCAATGGGTATAATTTACGTGAGCAAGAGTTACTTTTGTAAAAATATTTTGAAAATAAAAGTATTTGATCTTGTTGCATTTTTTTGTTGTTGTTGTTGTTAATAGATAGGAGAGTAATTATAAATATAAGAAATATTTACATCATTAAATAGATTATTAGCCTACAATAGTTAAAAAGTCAACAAAGCATAACATCTAATAAATCAACTAGGCTAAGCCCAACACAATCACCACCACTGATTAAGAGTTGAATTCGAAATCCCACCCTACAAAACTATTACACAACCATTAAGCTGAATTCTCTGTTATCTATGTTGTATTCATTAGCTCAGTTTGGAAATAAGTGGTTAGTTTTTTTGACCTTTTGATTTTTTTTTTTAGTTTGGCTAAAAAAGTTATGTTTGGGAAGATAGTTGATTTTTATTTTTATTTTTATAGTTAATTGATGGTTGTAAGAAAAAAAATAACATAATTATAATTTGAAGGTAATATTTTGTCTTATTACTTATTTTTACTTATTTTATCTCTATTAACTATTTTAGTCGAAACCTAACTTCTCAAGCAGGGCTCTTATCAATCAAAGGTTGAATTATCTTAATTTATTTTTCCATTCAATTTTACCATTAGTAAGACCATCTCTTGTTCATCAATTCTGTCATTAAATTTAAATTGATGAAAAAATAACATTTTTTATGTTCCTACAGATTCATCAAATGAGTATTAAATTGAAGATATCAAAAATCTTTCACCAAATTAAAGACGCTTGGAAATTTTCATCAAATCACTGTTCAGATTTTCATCCCCGGATGTCCCTTCGAATATCCACCTCGAGACAAAAATTTGTAAAAAAATATACTGACAGGTTGACCGGCTGGACATATACTCGGTTGTCTATATGATCGGCCAATATTTCGATGAAATGTCAAAATCCCCCATTAAAATACTTGACATTAAATAAAATTTTTACTCAATTTTGATTTAAAAAAAAAAAAAAAAATGCACTATTGAAAATGCTCTAATCCTCCAACGAACAATTTTCAAAACTAGATCTAACGATTAGGATTGCTTTGGTTTGGTGCATCAAAACCACCCTGGCTGCACCTGCACATGCACAATAGAAAAAATCGGTGTAAAACTTCTTCCCCTTCCCTACCCGTTTTGTTCGTTGAAAACTTCATCCAACAAATCACAAGAAGTCCTTTTGGAACTCTGTGTGTGTATGTGCGTGTTGCGGGTTCAATTCTAGGGTTTAAAGCTTCTGATTTGTCTTCCCTTTCTTATTATAATAACAAGATCTCAGTTGATCAATTTACTCTTCACTTTCTCTTCTTGAGAGTAAAACAGATTGAAACCCTTTTTTTTCAAAGTTTTTCTCAGGCGGTCGCTAAAATGGCCGGTGATGGTGCTACTAATCTTTCTCGCACTTTCAAGTACTTATTCGGTTAGTTTAACTCTCCATTTCAACTCTCTCTCTCTCTCTCTCTCTCTAAGTGTGTATGATTTTGTTGTGTGTGTTGGGGGAGAACAGCTACGCAGTTCTTGTCAAGGGGAATCCCATTCATATTCAATTCATGGATCATCAGACACCTCACTGCAAAAGATTATGCGGTAATTGCTATTCCCACTAATCTCAGTTTCTCTATACCTAGTGAATGCTGTTTCTTGTTTGAGAAATTCAATTAGTCCAATTGTTCAGATAGATAAAGAAATTGACAGATTTTGTTCCTAACTCTTGTTGTGTATTTCATTGATAACCTTGCTTTCTACGGCTAATGAATGCTTTGAAAGAGAGAGAGAGAGGGGGGGGGGGGGGGGAGAGAGAGAGAGGGGGAGATTGATTGATTTTGTTCTTAACTTTGTTGGGTATTTTATTGATGGAGAATTCTACAATACACATCTCATACCATATGCATCTTTAGTTACGTCATTTTATTCTTTCGTTATGACCAATTTTCTTCTTTAGTTATGATATTATTTTTAGATGTTTGCTTATGCCTCATGTAGTGTTTGGTTATGACTTTTTTTTTAGTTATGACGCAAAAAGTATGAAATTATACTATTTTCTCTTTGTTATAAGGTGGTGTACCATAGTCTTTCCCTTTATTGATAACCTCAGTTCCTATAGCTAATGAATGCTATTTTTGTTTCGGGAATTCAATTGATCCCATTGTTCAGAGAGAGAGAGAGAGAGAGAGCTGGGTATCTTATTGAACCTCTTTTGATGGTTGTGTGAATTGTTTTGAAGTTTTGGTCCCCACTCTCTATGACCTGAAATATGTACAGAATTATAAATAACAGGCACCAGTGTTGACTGTTTTAAGGATGATAGAAATTTCCTATCTTTCCTATCTTTTTCCTGGAATACATACACACATAATAAGATCTTGCTCTAGAATGATGATTTCGTGGCATGTTTCAGGAATCCATATTGTTTTTGTCGATTGTGTTCTTAGGATGAAGTGTTTGGCATATATGTCACAAAAACTTCAGATGTTTTCAAAACATCAGAAAGCATGAGCCGGATTCAAATGCAATATGTCACCACTCCTTTAATATGGCCTGATTGGATTGTCATTTTTGTAATCATTCTCTAACCCATGACTAATATTATTTTCTTGAAGTAGCTAAGGATTATTATGCATCTATTAATTGTTTAATTATTTATCATGTTGTGTCCTTAAACCATAGGTCTTGGAGGTTGTTTGATAGCCCCACAAAATGCTGAACTCTGAAAATTTTAAGTGGATCTTCTATTAATTACAAGAATGACACACAATAAGCTGTCACTTAAATATGAAATTTTACTTAAAAAAAGGTTGAATTTTAAGTTGGTGCAACTTGACAGTCATTGAATGCTGACATGTTCTCTCAAACGAGGTCTTTCATCTTATTTGACAAATTTGTCCTTGTAGTTTCAGTTTCAAACTTCAGGACTAAAATTTTTCATTGCTCAATCGTAGGTTTTATCAAACATCCTATAGACTATAGTCATAAAAGTCCAACTAGTGTTCACCCTCTTTTAATTTTTATGTAAGTTGGTGAACTGAACCTTATCTGACATCATTCTTCATTTCTAGATATTTCGGGGATCTTGTGCTTCCATCCATCTAAGCGTACATTTTCTCTTTCTTATGCAGCTTTATGCTGTGCAATTCCATCTGTTTGTCACCTGTGTCTTGTTCCTTAGTCGAGAGGGTTTTCGGCGAGCATGCATGAGAGCAGACATTAAATGGTACTTCCTCATGCTTGAATTGATGCTATTATCTGTTTTTGCTTTCTGTTGTGTTGAAGCATTACCAATTTTTTGCCCATTTGCTTGATTAGTTTTATTTATCTTTTACTATAAGTTATAATTTTCAAAGGGCTAAAATTCTACAGTTGATTATAACATGAGATTTCTGAGTGCTCTTGTTATTAGTTTATCTATATTTATTAGATTGAGGCCCAGTAAATGTACATGAAATTAGAGCATGATATGGATAAGGTAAGGGAGCTAGCCAGTGAAACAGCTTTGAATTATGGATTCATAAGTTCACAACAAAGTTTTATTTTCGGGTGGTTCCCCCTCAGTTCTTTTTTTTGTAACCAAGTCCTCTCTGGATTAAATTTATTTTTCTTTGTCAGAATTTAATGCAGCTGACCAAGGAGGAGGACACTTCAGTTTTCTCTCTGACATTTTGACTTACTTTTTTTCTTAATACAACTATAACCATAAGCTTTTGATGTGTAAGTTGGTATGTTTTTCTGTTCTTCTATGCATGTAAGACATTACTTTTCTTGCAGTGATGGTGCTTCAACTGGAGAAAATGCATCAAAAATATTGAAGGTAGCCTGGATGACTGTCCCATTTGGAATAGTTATTACAGTTGCAGCATGTATACTTGTCTTCTGGTGGCAAGAACTAAGTTATTCTAATCCATATGCACGAGCTATCTTGATTAATGGTAATCAGCAATTTCTTATTCAAAAAGTTTGAATCCTGAATCATGTTGTAGGTTTGTTATGCAATTAAGATGCTGTCTTAAAATTCAGTTACGGGTTAATGGTCCTTGTTAATTGAGCATTTTAACTTGAATCATTTGTTTATTGGTTTATTTTTTATGCCAACATGCATTTGGGAAGAAAGATGGAGTGGTGTGCAGCAATTTTCATTATCTGAGAACCATTTTGTGGAGGTCTTGGAAATATCAGTTGGCATGAAATGAATGCTCTCATTTATATTTTTAAAAAGTTTGATGGTTGAGATTGGTTCATTTTGTTTGTCAGGTCTTGCATGTATTTTGGAGCTATTGGCAGAACCCTTGTATATTGTTTCTCAGAACTTGCTTCTTCTCAGGTTGCGGTTGATAGTTGAAACTGTAGCTACTCTTTCACGTTGTATGACAACCTATATTCTCATTGTCAAGCAACCTGACATGGTAAAAATTTTAAATGGATTATGTGTTAACAACCTTTGTGCTTAAATTGTTACTGTTTTTCATGCTATTGTTAGAACAAAATCAGAAGTTAGTTTAGGAACTTGTGACTTCATTATTGATATTTAACGGCATGTATGCTCATTAGCTTCATTGTTTAATTCTTGCTTAGTTTCAATGGCTTCTGTGGACAGTTTTTAGCTAAGTTTCTTGGTACCTTTTGGAATAAAATTATGTCTATAGAAAAATATCATTAATTCAATGTTGATCTGCAGGAGAAGGCAATTGTATTCGCTTTGTCACAAACTGCATACGGAGCTTGCTTGTTCTTTTGTTATTGGGGCTACTTTCTTCTTTTTCGTGTATTTAAGGTTTCTGATCTTTTCCCTTTCAGGTATAGTTTCTTTTCTGGTAGAAGCCATTTTGTACAGTGATTAATATATTGTAATTTTGAACAGAAGGAAGAACCCTTAAGATCTTTTTCTTGACTAAACATAAATAAAGGTTATTTGAAGTGCCCTATTAGTTCCACCTCACTTAATAGTCCCCACTGCCACCACTGCCACCAACATGCTTAAACTGCCTTTCTTAAATGTAAATGGTTTTGCTTGCTATTTTATTTTATGATACCATATGCTGATTGGGTGCCACCCAACTCATGTCATTAGTGCACCAAGCAGTTTTTGGCACCTGGCATCTTCAATATGAAGTCTCTTGGTTTTTTTCCTTACCTCTTGTAGGTACATGTTTTTGGATTTCCAATGTGGCAAGCCATATCATCATTGCTATGATGTTGGCTTGGGACACCCCATTCACATCATTAGGCTTGACTTGAACCTTGGCTTGGTGCCTTGCTTGACTAGATGCCTTGCCAAACTCCTTACCTATCCTCGCCTCTGTTATTAGAATCACACGATTCGATTCGATTCAGCAGGTAATCGATTCGAATAGGTTGTGTGAATTGCAAATAGCTATGAATCATCGGTGAATCGATTCAATTAGCTAAAATCGATATTTAGCTTTCTTTTTTGATTTTTTATTGTTGGAAAAGGGTTCACACAACTTTTTTAAGGTCTCTAGGATTACTATATGCCATCTTTTGACTTTCTCCCTCCATATTTACTCTCAAATACTCAAACCTTAGTCGGAAAAAAAATGAACTTCCTCTCTACAATATTCTAGGTTTGCATAATATTCTAGGTTTACATATTCAATTTTATCTAAGTACTTGTATTTACAAAATGAATTTTTTGAAGGCATCAAGTAAGATTTTTGAAAAAGTTGGAAGATTTTGGTTTTTTAACCTTGAAAAAAGTTAAAAACATTGTTGTTGAGTTATTGTTACTTGGAAATTGAAAGTTTGTCTTTGTTTGCTTTTTTTATTTATTTTAGTTTATTAAGAACAGTTGATAAGAAATAGTATCCTAAAGGGAAAAGGTGAAGTGGTAAACATGAAAACCAGTGTTAACTTCTTACCCAGAACACATGATCATCATTTAAAACAATATTTTTATTGATTTAAGTCTAAATATTTCATATTTATTGAATATATTTAATATCTAAGTGGGTAGATATATTTTCTACGTAATTAAAAAAAGGTGACCGAATCTTTACGATTTATGATTTGATTCGATTCAATTCGCGATTCGGTACAATACTATTTCGATTCACGATTCGAATTCCGATTTGACAACTATGATCCTTGCATGTTTGTTGCCGCTCCATGCTTCACATCTCCTGCACTCATTCTTAAAATGGCACCATGACACTACAATGCTTATCTAGGTTGGGAGTAGGGCCTAAGAACCCCTTTTGAGGTGGTGCCTTGGTTGTGGGGCGCTGAAGCTACCAATGACCCCCACTTGGGATCACCAAAGGATTTGTGGCTTGGAGGCTAGAGTTGAGTGTCATTACGTTGCCTTGCCATCTCCTTCCTCGAGAGGACTTACACCTTGACTGGTCTTAAAAGGGAGAGAGGCCTCTACAAGAATACAAGAAGGCAGGGGATGTTGACCAAAACATGTGACTAAACAGATATATCCATTGCAGCTCCTTGATACGACCTCAATTTCTGATCATTGGTGCAGTTGGGCTAAGGGGACGGGCCACCTGTCCTTAGGCATGGGACATCATGCAAAGGTGAGCTGGCCCCCATGTCCCAACCCTCCTATGAAAGGAAGCATCTTCCTCCACACAAGAAGATATATATGAAAGCTTATTCCACTTCCACTCTCTCTCTTTGTCTAAGACCACTTTAGCTCTAACCTCCCTCACTTCCAGTGGTTTTGCAACCATCTCAGTGCCTACCATTATTTCCATAGGGTCCATGCTCCACGGTTTACCCACCCACAATGCTGCCCACATCTCTCAACTAACATCTTCTCAATACTTAAAAAATGGTTATTAAAATTTGAGTATCATGTTGTCTTGTCAAATTTTATGTTTGGGGGATCTATCATGGAGTTTATATTACTTGGAAAATTGATGAAGTATATAGAAAAGAAAAAAGACCTTTATACGGTGTCTATTGACTTAAAAAATTAAATATTATAGGTTCCTTGAGAAAGAATGTGGAGAGCTTTAGAGAAGAAAAGAGTGTCAGTGAGAAATATCCACATGATTAACGTGCATTGAAGTATGAGAACAACAGGTGAAGCAATAATGAGTTTCCAACAACAATAGTCTTCCAATCAAGGATTAGCATCAAGTCCTTACCTTACTTCATTAATTTATGGATAAACTTACTGGACATATTTCTTGGTTTACACTTTTTTGTTAATGACGTAGTTTTAATTGATAAAAGTAAACCATAAATTAGATTTATGGAAAGATACTTTGGAATCTAAATGTTTTAGATTTTAGAACATGTGGAGTATTATTTTAGAAAAACTATAATTAGAATTGAAGATAAAATGCAACTTGATGCCCAGGAGATTCATAAGAGTAGATAGTTCTGATACCTTGCATTGATTATTCTTGAGGATGGGGAGATTGGGAAGGATGTAACCCACGGGCTTTGGATGAAATGAAATACAATTTGTGATTGTAGGATTTTTGCCTAGTTGTACAAGACAGTAATAAGGTCAACTATAATGTATGGTACAAAAAGTTGGCAAATAAATAAACATATTCAGAAATAAACATATCTGAAATGAAAGTGTTGAAATGGATAAGTGGAGTTTACAAGAAAAGTTAGAATAAGAAATGAATGCATATGTTAGTTATCAGAAGTGGCATTGTTTGGGAACAAATTGAAGGAACTAATTTGAGATGGTTTGACTATCTTCAACTTAGATCAGCCAAATTTTGGAGGGGAGGAGTGATCTTATCCAAGTGGACGGTGTCACAAGGACTAGAGTCTAAGAAGGGTTAAGGCACGAAGAAAGGACATGATTGACTTAAATTTAATCAACTACATTTTGTTGTTGTTCTGCATTTTATACTTGCAAAGGTTGATCTGAATTGCTGCAGTGCTGGTGGCAGAAAATGATCAAAATTGATAGTAATTTACATTAGAATGTGACAGCATGGAAATAAAAGAATCACTGACCATAGACAAATAAACCATTTTTCTGAGTAACCTCCAAGAATGAGAAAGATAAATTCTAACAAATGGTAGTATTCACTCACATCATATGCTAAAAAGATTAAGATTTAACAATTTGTTCTCTTTTCTGTGGGATGATAACCAACGGGGTTAATTACATTTTTAGTCCCCAAATTATGAGCCTTGCGTCATTTTGATCCCCAATGTTTAAATTGTATCAATTTGGTTCCCATTGTATAAAAATGTTTCAATTTGGTCCCCACTATTTAAATTGTGTCAATTTTGTTCCAATGTATAAAAAGTGTTTCAATTTGGTTGCCCAATGTTTAAAATTGTGTCTATTAAGAGAACTAGATTGGAGGACTAAATTGAAACACTTTTCATACATTGGGGACCAGATTGACGCAATTTAAAATTTGCGGCCAAATTGAAACACTTTTATATGTTGGGAACCAAATTGATACAATTTAAACATTTGGGACCAAAAATATAATTAACCCTAACCAGGGAGAACAAATCTTGTAGCATGGGACAGTTTTTCATGAGCAGACATAAGAGTTTAAATGAAACAAACATGATGAATGATGCGGGACAGAAGGTCACATAAAGGATGCTTTGGAAACGAGGCTAACAGCTGAGTTTTCTTGTGAAATACAAAGAAAGGGAGAAGCTAGTACAAACTGTATTAGGGGGGAATTGTTTTTGTAATTCTTGGAAAATGATCAGCATTTACTGGAGATAGAGAAAAAGTATATGTCAGAAACATTAACATAAAATTTTCAATTCTTTTAATGTCTAGTAGTAAAACAAAGTTGATTTGGACAACCTTGTGAAGATGAAGATCCTCCTAATTTTTCAGAAATTGCTCCTTCCTAGCAAGGAAGCGCTTAGATGCAGTCTCTTGCTAGTTTGAGCTCTCTGACAAATTAGTGCCATTGCCAACTCTAAATCTTTCTGAATGCTGGAGCTCTATCTGCAAGACCCCATGCTATAACTGGTGACCCTCTGGTCTTTGTTGACTAATACTTCATCTCTAGCTTCCCAGTCACTCTATCTTGAAAGAAATGCCAGTATATTATTTGGTTTGTGGGCTATGTGCTTCCACCGAGCCCCGTAAGTTAGAACTTATGACTGTGGAATCATATTGAATATTTGACGATACATTCCGTACCTTGCTAAAAGAAATTTTTGACTGGTGATTATTCCAAAAAACACTACCAACAAAACCTATGTTATCAAAGCATCATATGTAAACTAAATGATAATTACGACATCCTAAATTCTAATGTGATTTTTCTCCCTTGTTTTGGACAATCAAATAAATATATGCATCATATGTTAGATAGTGTATGTCATAGTTTGTGAAAGTGGTTGTAGTTGGATTCTGTTGGATTTTCCTAAGTCTGAAACCCAGCATAGTAGACCAAGATGTCAAAAAGGCTTGTTGCTTAAGCATGATGGCTCAGGCTTGGGGCGCGTCTTTGTCAAATCCATCTTTTTTTTAGCCCTAATTTTATTATGTATTGATCATGTTATTCTTTTATTTAAAAATTTTATGTGTCGATCAAGTTTATGCCAAAAAAGACTCATTTGTCATTTCTTTATTTTTTCAATAATATATATTCTCTGTATTCTTTTCATTGTTATCGTAGTATATTTGTTGATGGCATATACTTTTACAGAGTAAGAGATATCATGGATTATGATAGGCAACTCTCAGACATGTGTATGCTATTTACTCTTCAATCCTTCCGGAAGTTGTTCCTCCAAGAAGGAGAAAAGTTTGTCCTTGTATGGTTGGATACACCATATAATCAAGCCATATACGGAATTGTAGACAAATTAGGTAAGTGTTGGTCCAAATTTTGCGTCTCAGATTTTGTAATATTCTGCTCACATGTAGTAATGTTAGACTTAAATAGAATTTATTTTGATCTAGAACCATTTGGATTGAAATAAAAGATGTAATTATTAGTATTGATCTAAATTCTCTTGGTGTTTTTTGACTACGCTCAAATCGATCAACTTTCACATATCAGGGAGCCTAGTGGTGAGGATGGTTTTTCTTCCCTTTGAAGAAAGTTCGTATGTTACTTTTGCAAGGTCCGCATCAGGTTTACTTCTTTTCTTCCTTTACATTCTCTCGTTAAATTTTGTATGTCTCATGCTTGCAGTGCCAGTGTGTCAAAACTTTATTCTTCTCCATTTCAGTTTTTTATTATGTCATCGTGATTGGCCTTCTTTTGTTTTTTATATGGCATATTATTGTAAAAAAAGTGGGAGCTTGAAACCTGATTGTATGATGTGACTAGTCTTTAGGTAATTGCTGTAGGGGACCATGCTGTTAACTCTCTTAAGTGCAGCTCTGTGGTTTTCAGGCAGATTTGTTCTTGGTCTGTGGTCCCAGGTTTTGGGATGACAAACTTTAATTAGTTGGTCTACATTCCCAAGTATTAATTGGTAGTTGTCTGTGTTCTCCCTTTCTTATGTAAATATGGGAAATTTTCTACAGTAATGATGAAAAGATTACTTATTGCTTGTGTTAGGGAACAGGAACTTGATTTTTCCCCAATGAGACTAGTGTTTTGTTGTAACGTCCCAAATTTCTAGCCCAAATGATAATACAACAATCATGGCTCTTTCAAGGAAAACCGAATGTAAATCTCCAAACTTACATTACATGATACAATAGTTCTTCATGCAATAATACATTAATTCAACAACAAGTAAATAAATAAATAAATACCCCCAAGGGTTTACAAGTTTCCAAGACTTGAGCTTGGTTACACAAAACGGTTATTCAAACCCACACACATACAGCCCTTGGCTTATACACAGAGTCACAGCAAAATGAGAGTCTCGTACTCTCAACACACATTTCCTCGCCTTTAGTTAGGCGGCATCACCACATCTTTTCCTGCACAAAAATCACGTAGGGTGAGCATAAAGCCCAGTAGGAAATCCTTAACAAAGTATATACATTTTATACAAGTCTCAAGAGATGAAATGCACATGCCATGCCATGCTATGCTCCTTTTTGAAGATAAATCACATTTTCATCTTTTGAAAACCATCATGCTTAATGATGTCATGCAATTTCAATTGTTCAAAACTTAACAATTTATTTTAAGGACGGTAAATACAACTCTGGTAATCCCTAGGTCGGTGTCTGCAAAGACTATACAAGTACTACCAAATTGTCATTTTTATCGGTATTAATCGGAAGGCTCAACACCTATCCGCGCGGATTTTCGGTCTTTCACCCCCGACTCTCAGGCCAACTTATTCAATATCATCTACACCACCTATCAAAACTTACCAACGTATTTATCCCAAAACCATTTTATGAAAATTTGTTTCTCAATATTCTTTTCTCAATGCAAGTTTTCCAATCAACTTTCAAAGTTTAATGTAATCAAATGAATTGTTATGCTAATAACACATGATGAATATAAATACTTTTATTCCAATTTATCATCCAAGGAATAACACAATTCCCTCTTCTCAAGTATCTTCAACAATTAGTCATTTCAAGACTATTTCAACGTTTTGAGCAATAATTTCCAAAATGAACAACAATTCTCATATTTCCTGAAATTCATCATTTATATAAATATAAATAAGAAAATTTTCAAACATCCATTTATTTTGACACACAAAATAAATACAACAATATCATTCATAAATTTTGTCTTTTTTAAAAAATCTCCAAATTCTAAGTTTTCTCACCAAAACTATATAACTCAAATCCTTTGAAAAAAAAACTTTCCAAAATCAATCTTTTCTTCAATCAACGAAGATCAAAACCCATAAGATCGTTTTAAAAGAACAAGAGACAAACCCACTTTCAAAATCGCTCAACTTCTTGAATCAATAATCAATTTACAAAACTATTGAAAGATGATTTCGAAAATCATATAGATCTTGCAAAAATATATATATAACTCTAAGAAAATCCCTATCTCAAGTTTTCAAGAAGAAATGAGATGAAACCTCCAAAATCAACGATGTCGAAACTCAATCTTCACCGCACACAACGAAGCCCTCGAGAAGTTAACCAACTTTGATGAAGAACTTATGGCAGAACTCTAATGGATCTTGAGAAATCAAGGTTTGGATCCAATTTGGCGTAGGGAAATGTAGAGAGAATGAAGAGGAAAGGGTTTTTAGAGAGAGAGAGATATACAAAAGTGATCTGAAATATCAGATTCATGAACTGATATAAAATGGTTCGCTCGAGCGTGGAAAGCCCCGCTCAAGCGTCAAATACACTTTCCTAGTATTTTTGTAGACAGGTCAAACTTCTGAAACCAAACATTCTCCGTTCGAGCACATAAACGGTTGCTCGAGCGGACAACGCAACTTCTAATGTATTTTGCATTCTTGCTTTGGGAGCGCTGCCCTTCAACCCCGCCAGGGCGCTGCCCCAGGACCTGCCAAGGGGCGCTGCCCCCTGGACCCCCGCGAGCTGACCGGGTAGCTCGATCCCCGCCAGGGCACTGCCCTTGGACCCGCCAAGAGGCGCTGCCCCCTGGACCCCCACAAGCTGACCGAGCAGCTCGATCCCTAACATAGTCAGCGAAGTGGCAAACATGAAAGAATTAACTTCTGAAACATCTCTGCAAGGCACAATTCGGGTTGGATTCTTTTAAAAAAATAAAAAATAAAAAAAATTAAGAGTATAACCATAAATTAATATGTCCACAGCAAAAGCTGATAATCAGAAGCAAGGGGTGAGCAGCTTCTCAGAATCAGTTTTTTTGAGTTAAAATAAGCTGCTAGAATCAGAAGCCGTTTGAAATAAGTTTAACCAAACAGTCCAAAATAACTTTTTCAAAACTAAAAGTTATAAGTTAGCTCTGAAAAGCTGGAACAAACACCCCTTATATCTCTTAAGATGATTATTACCCATAAATGTTTGATATAAGTTATTTTGTCTCATAAATTCTAAGCAAAAATTGTACCAAACATTTTCACATAAATTTTCAAAATAAAAAAATTATAAGCATTCTCTATACACATCAACAAGTAGGTAGTGAAAAAAATGAGGAGTTTAAAAACAAGTAATTTAAAATTATAATTATTAATATAGATATAGATGTAGGTCATGTTTCATTGCTTCGTTATAGAGGGTATAGATATAGTGGTGGCTCTAGGAATTTTTATAGATGCACCTCACAAGCTTAAGTTCTAAATATTCTATAAAATAAAATAAAAAAAAAGGAAAAATAAAAACTTTTAAACTAAACAACATTCTCTCTATTTGGTTTAAAATTTTTAGAAATAGTTTTTAAGTTTTTTATTTTTTGTATTTTGTTATCTTTAGTGATTTTTTTTCATATTGTAATCAAATTTTTTTCAGATGCACCAAAAATGTAAATTCTTTGGAAAAATCTTTACAAATATCATAAATACGAAGAAAAGTACTTTTTTGTATTTAAAAAAAAATCACAAATACTTTCTTTTTTAAATATATCTAGATTAACTGAATCTAAAAAATAAACAAATTTGCTTAAAATATTTAAAAAGTACAACAAAAGACAAAAGAAATACGAAAAATAAAAAATTTAAAAACTATTTTTGAAAATTGTTAACCAAATAGAGTTATTTAAATTTATCAAACAGTGGTTTCTAATGGCAAGAAAAATAAACAAATAGAAAATTATTTATTGATATTTACGATATATTTCCTATCGTAATTAGTAAATATTGAATGTAACAATGATACTACGTGACGGTGTCACCATTTGCGGCAAAGACCACAACAATACCGGGTTAGTGGGAGATAAGGATTATTCACTTAATCGCATTTGCTGTTTTTTATTGACTTATAATGTCACTGTTATACTTAATATTTTTTTCCTCTAATTGGTATGGATGTCTATTTGATGGGGTCTTTTTATTTTTTTAATGGGATCAAACTATATTAAATAAAATATTAATCTATGAAGCACGGACATGTCGGAACAGGTGCCATAGCGGTGTTGGACATGGGGACACGTGTCCCTTCAATTTTAATTTTTTTTTTTTTTTTTTTGCGAAGGACATTCTGGGACACACGTGTCCAGAATCAGAGTTTAGAGCTTTGCTCTAAATCTCAAAATCAGAACAGAAGAAGAAGAAGAAGAAGAAGAAGAAGAAGAAGTAGTAGTAGTAGTAGTAGCTATGTACCTGGTTCGTCGGTCGGACATACCAAAGAAGAAGCTGGTTTGTTGGTCAGGTAAGTCATCTCTCTCTTGCCTGTCACTTCTCGTCTCTCTCTCTCTCTCGCCTTGTTTCTGGCTTCTCTCTCACCTTGTGCCTTCTCTTCTCTCTTTCGCTTCTCTGTTCTCTCTTCTTTTCTTTTTTATTTTTTTTTATTTCTTGCTGATTATACATTATAACTATAAAATTTATAACTATAATTTTTTCTGATTATAATTTATAACTATTAAATAAATAATTATAACATTTATAATAATTTTAATATATTTTTTAATTTCTCTATTTATTTTTTTTGCCTTTATAAATATAAATGTAGTGATTTATATATATTGAATTAATGTTAGTTTTTATTAATTTTGATTGTTTGGTAACAGAATATTAATCTACATAGCAAATATATATTTAAAAAAAAAATTTGTCCTGTCCTCCAACGTTTCTGTGTCTCCATTTTTCTGAAATCACCATATCCTGTGTTTGTGTTCATGTCCGTATCCGTATCCGTGCCCGTGTCTGTGCTTCATAGATATTAATAATATAAATTGAAGAAATTATTGGTTTTTGATGCCTTGATGGAGGCCTGGGAACCCATCAAAGACCACATGGTGTCGCCCCTGGTCAAAGTAACAATTAGAAACTATGAAAATGGTCAGAGAATACCATTTGGACTCATTTGCCTGTAATTTTTCAATTGTTTTAGCTGCTTCATCTGGAGTTGTCAAGAAATTATTTAACCTATTTTTCCAAGCTCGAAAAAAAAGGTAATCGAATTATTTCATATACAATTTGGGCACCCTGTCCAATTTGCAACAGACAACTGTTTTTAGAAATTTCCAAACCAAAGAATCTCTCTCTCCCTCTCTGTGTGACACACATGCAAACAATTTTCCTCGTTCACCTAGCCATAAACTTATCATGATTGAAGCAAAAAGAAAATCTTCATTTTGAGTTATTTTTAACGCAAGTGTGCTGTTAGATGATATCTTTTTATGTACATCTATGAAATATTTTAGGTACATTGTTTTTTCTTAAATTAGAAGTGTAAACTTCATGGTCTACCATGAATTGGCTGCACATTTATGTAGTTACAGAGGCTAAGAAATTTGTGTTCAGTTAATATATCTGGCCATTTATTGTATCATTGCACAGTTTATTCTCACATTGAATTTGATATATATATATATATATTTTTGAAGGGAATTTCTCTTAAATTTAATTTTTCTATGTTGATGTCTAACCTTACTCACCAGAAAAGAAAAGAAAAGAAAAGATGTCTAACCTTGTTATCATGTCCTGCAAGGGGAAAGAAACCTTGTTAGACTTTAACTTCATAAATTTATGAAAGCTAGGTTGGCACAACCTTATAATGTATGTTATTTTTGTCCCGCATAAGCAGTAAAAAAATGTTTTTTTCTTGGCAGCGGAAGATGCCCAGAAAAGCTGGAAGTTAGGAAGTTGTCTAACAGATGCTCTGAAGCTGGTTTTGTTAATTGGTACATTTTTCCCACATAGTTTATAACTTCCCGAATGTTTTTTGTTTGTAGATTTCAACTTCTTATTTGGTCTCTATTTAGCACATGAAATTGTTCAGGCCCCAATATTTATTTTCATTGAGTTTTGCTTGCTTAAATGGTAATAAGTGTCTGATCAATACATAAATCTGAGAAAATAGTGAATGGATATGGACTCTGACACTGTTAGTTGAGCCGTAATAGGTGGGACTGCAGTGCTTGTTAAGCCTTCTGTGACACTTTGGAATTTATCAATTACCATGGTTCATATATCAGAAGCAAATGTTTTAGATTATTTGTAATTTTGTATCTGCAATTTGCTCCTGAGAAGGGGGTGTTTCATCATCAATTCAAGGCATGGCCAACTTTTCTCTGATTTTTATGTTGTCATATTACTTTTTGGATATAAAGTTTTGAATTTGAACATTGTGATGAGGTATGCAGGACTTGCAGTGTTTGTTTCTGTACTCTATTGCTCTCATCGTTATCCTTCTCTGTTCAGTACCACTTTTTGGTTCTTTTCTTTTAGTAAGGAAAAATGATTGGTTAGATGACATAAAATAAAGGATGGCATAACCCTGGTTCTCACAAGATATTCATCAGAAAACTCATACTCCTGCACGAAACCATCCCAAATTCTCTCTAAAATCCAAGAAAAGTCTCAAGGCAAGGATTTGTCTTCCCTGAAGCTCAAGTAAAAAGATTAAAACATTTGTTTCCCGGCCAATGGCCATGTTGTTGTACACCTTCAGTAGGACCTCCACTCCTCTCCCAGCAAATACACCAAGATAGGCCAAGAGAGGCAGTATTCTAAAATTTATCTTTTCCTTCTACCAACTTCCCCTCCCTTCATCCAACTATCCAACAACTCAAGCTCTAATTTTGGAAAAATCCTTGCCACCCCAAAGTGATCTGAAAAATCCTTAACATGAACTGCCAACCAAACAGAAATAATCAATTTGGAAGGAACTTTTGAACCCAAAGACTTCGTTAAGGGAATGAGGTCGCCCAGCAAATTTGGGTTTTGTAAGGCTAGTAGCCTAGTATTTGCCAGTTATGGTCATAGCACCAGATTTCAATATGAGAAGGCAACACATATCTTTTGAAGCAGATCAATATGTGACCAGCTGAGTGCATCTGTGTAATTCCCTGTGTTAGCACAAAACAAAATTTGAAAGGAGCATGTGGGAAGGTTAAGCTAGCATCAATGAGAGGCCCAACCAGAGAGTTTGCTAATGGACCAGTAATGCACAAATGGCAGCGACTGAAGAGTTTGATATGTTGCTGAAATGAAGTGAGAGTGAGGGATATAAATTGTAAATCAGGATGGAGCTGAATGGCAAAACTGGATTCTTTTTGGTGATCACTAGAAATTAGGACCTATAATCGGAAAATCATTTGAAGTGTATGTGTACAACTTTTTTTTCCCCTTGAACTGGTGCAAATTGTTTACTTCAAATCAGTAAATTCATCTTGTTGAGGTGGTCTTTAAATTCTGTAATTTGCTTCGATTGTTTCCTCCTTTTCTTGGCTTTCAGGATGTTACTTTATATCTTGTAGGGCTTGTAGTTATGGCATTTGGCCCAAGCTATTCTTACTCTCTCATCAGATTGTTGTATGGCCAGAAATGGAGTGATGGAGAAGCATCAACCGCCCTCCAATATTATTGCCTTTATGTCATTACTTTGGCCATGAATGGTAAATAATCTTACGTTATTCTGTCCATTAATTATCTTTGCCTGCCTAAGTAGAAAATATTGTTTGCTTGTAGAAATTGAATTATGTATATGCAATTGCCTTATGTTACTACCTTTGTATTAATCATTTCCCTTCAGCCTTCTATTTGGCTTTTGATTTTAGAATGAGTTTAATTTATGATTCGAAAAACAACATTGCCCTTCCACAATTAGGACCCCCAGTGCTTCAATCTCCTTAGAGATTGTCAAACATATGGACTCATCCATCCAATTAATTGTGAAATCTCGTAGGTGGATGCGTAGGAAATAGGTCAAACACTCGATTCAAATTGCCAATTAAAAACCCATCAAGTGAATTAATTAATTCAATAATCCAACCACAAGATATATCAATTAATCATATGCCATCCTCACATTGTCGTAGTGAATAAATGAAGATAATAGGCACAATGATATATGTTAAAAATCCATTGGTAACAACAATCCCCACTGTTAAAAATGATTGGCACCCCTGCTTGTTAAAAATTCACTGAATCACAAGTTTAATACAAAGACTCAAGTAAAACCTCTAGCAACCTAACCCTATATGAGTTTTAGAGTTGACGCCTTCCCCTTAAACCTTGCAAAACCAAACTCTACTTGCAAGTGGCTCTGACACGACTGTCAGTCTCCTCTTGTCTAGATCTCTGCTCCTCGCTGGTCAGATCACAGTTGGCCACATGGTTGAATTAACCAATGCACAGTGTGTGACCAAAGTGTTTACAATGTATTTGGTTTTGTAAACATCTAGAGAAGAGCTTTTCAAATCAATTGTTATGCATTATCCAATAGGTTTTCTTCTCTGTATAAGGATTAGCTATGAAGCACAGACACGGCGGGGGACACGGCGAATTTTATTTTATTTATTTTTATATGTTTTTATGTGTTATGTAGATTCATATTACATTCATCTTAAATCAAAATTAACAAATACTAACATAGTAATATTAATTCAATAAATATAACCATTACATTTAAACAAATTGATAGATCATCCATTTACAAAAAAGTCATAATAAACGATAACAAGAACTAAGACGAGAAGGAGAAAACATTCAACATCTAACAATATTCTTCACAAAAATACTGAATAAGAGGCAAAAAAAATAAAAATAAATAGCCCCGCCGTGTCCCATGCCGTGTCCCTATATGGACACGCGTGTTCCCGCTGTGTCCCATGCCGTGTCCCCATATGGACACACGTGTCCCCTACAAAAAAATCATTAAATTAAAGGGACATGCCATCTGGCATGTCCCGTATGCGTCCCTGGCGTGTCCCTGTGTCGGACACCACCACGGCACTGATTTTGGAGTGTCCATGCTTCATAGAGGACTAGGTTTCCTAAACTCATATGTGGTATACGAAGGTTGGGGCTGCTCTAGAATTATTTTCTTGTCTATCTTAAATTAAAAGAACAAAGTCCCTATTTTATAGTTTTTCCAAACTAGGTTGTGTAAGGATTAAAAAATATGCTTGCCCACTCGAGCGCTCTTTGAGTGGGTTCAAGTGGACCTCAGAGGATCTCTACAAAGCTAAATTGTCACCACCCTACTCAAGCATGCACACTACATCACAATTGTTCACTTCATAGGACTTGTTTTACATGTCAATAATAAAATATTCCTATTTGAATTCAATGGTATATCAAAATATTGAAATTCTAAATAAATAAAAATCAACTCTCCCTACAAAGAACAAAAATTTGAAATTTTTATGATAGCACACTCTCCAACGATAAGGTATTTGCAGTAACTGAAGATGTTCTAAGTTACAATTTTTAGCTCTAAAATACAAATATGCAAAATGATTGGTCATCAGATATTCAGATTTAGGTGTTTTCACGTTTTGGTCATTCACAACTCCTCTCAGAAACTAAGGCCTCGTTTGGAACAAGCTTTTTTAATGGATTATTTTTGTCTTATTTTAAAATTTTCAATGAACATTTTTGTGAAATAATTCTTAGAGATTTTTAGTCTAATGCAATATGCTTGTGCAATATTATACTCGAGATTGGATCAGAGCTTGTTTTGTATTGTCTGTGAATGTCTCTAGTCTTGAGCACTTGGACCTAGACACCTAGCACATGTTTTGTCTAAGGAAATTGCCAACACACTAAATCCTAAATCCCATAAGAGATTGCACTCTATTTATGGTCAAAGTTGTTCTTGGATATGGCTCTTGCAACTTTGTACAGTTCCTTAAATGAAATATGTGATATAGCTGAGTGCGGCGAATTGAGGCGGAGCCCTGTGCTTTAAACAGGTCAAGGCGAGGCGACGAATGGAAGGCACACAAAAGGCGCTGAGGCGCATACCTGGTTCTGAGGTGCAGGGCAAGGGCTTCATGTGCTTTATGTATTTTTTTACTCCAACTGTTGATTAAGTGATTTTTTTTGTGTGCATACCCACAAGGAATTAAAACCCTTCAATATAAAAAGACCAAACATGTTGAAAAGAGATCAGAAAAATGATAAAAAACAAAAAACAAAAAAACCTAGGTGGAGAGCGATTAAAAAAATTGATTGACATTGATTTGGAAAAGAGAAAGATGTCGTCTTCTTCAGGTTCTTCGCTGGGTTCTCTCTATCTCTTCTCCTTCACTGGTTTTCTCTATCTCTTCTCCTTTGCTGCGTCTCTCGCTGCCTCTCTTTTTATTTCTTTCCTTTTCTTCTCCAGCCACTGTTTCCCCTTTCTTTTCTCTGGGTTTTATCTTATCTGTTATGCTTGTGCATGCAAGAAAGGTGGCTTTTTATAAACCGTTTCTACTTTTCCTTTGTTTTTTTGAAATGGTAAACTTGCTCTATGATTTTTAGAATTCTATATATATTTGTTCATATTGAAAACTTTGCCAATTTTAAAATTTTGCTTATCTTCTACAACTTGCCTCGTGTTTAAAATATGGGAGACCTTATTGCCTTGGTGTGCCTTGAGTTTTTTAAAACACTGGCTGAGTGCATCGATTATGTATTTGATTTCATGGTCATTTAAACAAAAACAGGTTTATGGCTGGTCAAGATGGCTAACGACAGTCTTGATATCATAAAGGCATTTTCAGACGCCTCTGAAACTTTGCATTATTTTGTTGTGCATTAACATGGCATACGGTGATAGAAATCCAACCTTGTATGGGTCCACTTCTTAAAATCACAGCCCTCTGAATTGATGGTAGGAAAATATAAATAAACAGAATTAAAGAGTGTGCTTTCAAAAAATCTTATAATTGACTTCTTGCCATTTTCTTTGATGATGGATGCTTTATTGTTTAACGATCCTGTGGATTGATGGAATTTACTTTTCCATATAAAACTCAATTAAACCACATAATTTCTGCTGGATTGCCCGAATATACCCCTATCATTATTTTTTGTGAAGCACATGAAATTCAGTAAGTTTCTTCACGACATCAAAACTGATGTCACCTATTTACCTAGCTGTTATTGTTCATCTATTAAAGTCTGTATTATAACTAACCTTTAAGCGCACTTGATTTCCTTTAGGCAAGTAGAGTTATGTGATAACAAAATTATCTTTAGCAACATAACCTGAGATAGTATCTCCAGAAACTTAAAACTTTCCCTTTTGATTTGTGAATCAGGAACATCTGAAGCATTTCTGCACGCAGTTGCTACAGAGAACCAAATCAAGCGTTCAAATGACTCGTTACTTGTATTCTCATTGATCTACCTTGTTATGAATGTCGTACTCATACGATCAGCTGGTGCAGTTGGGTTAATCATTGCAAATTCCTTGAGTATCCTTTTGCCTTGGGTTGATAACAGCTGGTCATTTTTATTCCTACTTAGTATCAATTTAGTCTTTTTTAGTTTGCTTGGCTTGAGCTCTGCCTCGAGCTTCATTGTATTTGCTTCATGATACCAAAATTCTTTTTCATTTCTTCCTCTGCAGTTATTTTATTGGAATATTTAATCATATGAGGACACCATGCAATTTTTTTACATATATGTAGGTCTTAGATTAGAAATTAGAGGCAATAAAACGAGAAACTATCTATAAAAAGGTGTACCCAGTGCACGAAACTCCCGTTTAAGCGGGGTCTGGAGAAGGGTTGATGTACGCAGCCTTACCCCTGCAAACAAAGAGGCTGTTTCCGCGACTTGAATCCAAGAAACTATCTATGCACAATATAATTGGTTGCTTATGTCTAACTCACTATTAATAATTTTAAAAAATATGTTTTTTACAAACGTATCCTAACTGTACCCGTATCCTATTTTTGTAAGTTTTGTCGTATGGCTGTATCTGTACGGTATCGTATCCGTATCCATGCTTTGTAGTTAGGTAGTTACATTTGTGTGTTTAATCCTATGTTATTAGAAAACGCTAATACCCCAGCGAATTACATATTGGTACGCACGTTCCGAAACATGGTACACTTTCGTTCCAAAACGGTAAATATAGTGATCCAAAACGATCTCAAAAGTTTTTTTCAATATATGTCCTTAAATGTTAAATAAAGAGGAAAAAAAGTTAAATATAATGAACTAAAATTTAAGGTGAGTTAAGTTTTGACGGTACAAAAAATCAAAAAAATGGGTCTAATACTCAGAAAATATTACATTTTATTGGATGTCTAATAGTTTTAAAAAAATTACTCTAGAAGTACCTTAAATTAAGTTTAATATATACAAGTCTACTCCTATCGTACCACATTTTAGAGCATGTGGTGTATCACGTTCACATTTCCGTTTCCGTTCCCGTTCCATGTACTGGAACGATCTACGTTCCAGGTAACATAGGTTTAATCCCAGTATGCTTTAACCAGTATAGTCATTCTTTGTTGGGATTAAATTTGATGGTCTGCTATCTTAACTGGCATAAAGATATGATTTTAAGGATTATATACTCAGCGGTATTCATCAAGCATTATTTTAAGGTACACCTTTTGCTAGTGCAAATTACTCTACCTTTCCTGCTATGACAGTTTTAAATTTGCACTATTCGTATTCACATATTTGATAATGCTACTCTGGAATTTCTTTGATACGTACTTTGACTAGTTTGGTTTACCTCTCTCCACAGGATTCTGCCTCATTTTCCTTTCGCAGCTGTTTGCCTTCTGGTTGGATGGTCCTGTTATTTTCCAGCATAACCACTCTCATTTCTGAGAAAATATTTCTGGATCGACAGAACTTCTGGCCAACGTTTCTCATTCATTTCTCTGTCGGGGTAACCTGCTTCTGTATATCATCCTTAGTAATGTATGTATAAACTTGTCTGTTTATCTCTTTTAAATCTGTGTAAACATTCTCTAGAAGTGGCGTTTTTTTAATTTGTTCAATTATTGTCATCTTTCTTCAAATGTATATTGTATTAGTTGTGATTGTTTGAAAATCTTGATAGTATTCTTTTGTTTGTATTGACAGTTATCGCCGTGAGAGGCCTTTTATCAACAAAATTATACGCTTCCGTGACCATGCTGACTGAGGAGGAATAGACAACTTCTTTTAACAGTGTCAGAGGTGAGAATACAGTCATTATATGCTTTATGACATCTAACTACTCCTTTAAACTCTATCAAAAAAAAAAAAATAAAAAAAATAAAACTATTAAAAAAAAAAGAAAAAAAAAAGGAAGCAATTTTCATCGTTATTGAATGGATATGCTTTTAAATGGGTGGAATTGAATTTCCCGGCAGCAGGAGCAAAGCACCTCCCTGTATTGTATCAACATGATTAATGATTCACAAGTATACTAGTTAATGATTTAATTATTTGTTCTTTATCGCCGTGAGAGGCCTTTTCTCTACAAAATTATACGCTTTTGAATTCTTTATACATTTGTAGTACTTTGTTTCTCCCTTTGGATACATGATTAACATTGCATGCTTTATGATATCTAGGTGCTCTTAACCAAAAAACCAAAAAAAAAAAAAAAACAAACAAAAAACAAAAAACAAAACAAAACAAAACAAAAAAGAAGCAGCAATCTTCGTCGTTATAGGATGGATAATCTTTTGAATGGGAGGAATTGAATATCCTAGTAGCAGGAGCAAAGCATGGCCTGACTATATTTTGTTGATTACTGTATCAACTAGTGTACAAATTAATGATTTAATTATTTGTTCTTTATCAGATTATCTATGTCACAGTCCAGTTACATGTTTGCAAAATAATTTTGTGCAGCAAACTGTATTTTTATTGTTAGTTGTACATGGTTGCATTTAAAATTGAAGAAGTTGCTTTTTATGTTTATTTTTAAAACTAGTTTTTTGTTTCTCAGATACAGAAATATGCCAAGAGTTGAATTGGGGGTGGATAGGAGAAGACCACATATAATGGGAAAATTTTGAATAGTATTGAACTATGGATTCAAATTACTCTTTTTTAAACTGTGAGTGAAATGTTGTGCTGTATGTGTACCATAGCAGTTTTAGCTTTGTATTCCTTGGAAACGCTAAGCTTGTTTTCCAATTCCTTGGCCATTTTTGCCGTCTTTTTTATCCTAATCTTTTTCTACATCAGGACCTTTCACAAAATTTTGCACGGAAAAAAAAAAAAAAAAAAAAAAAAAAATTCAGGATGTGAAATGTGGTTCAATGAGGTGTTCCAAAATTTTCTTGCCTTGTCTGTTTATTAAATTTTTAATTTTTATTTTTTATATAGCACTCAAGCTTGTATAACAGGGTTACTGGTTTAGTGGTTAAAACTTTACCACTGACCCTAAGGTTGTGGATTCAAACATATCATAATCATTTTGACAAATTATGTTAAATATTAGGTCTGTACTCAATTTTAATCTTTTTGCAAACTCGCATCAAATGGTGACTAAATTAAGTTTAGTTTATTTCTTTATGGCTATACTATATATAAAGTGAACACCCTTTACAGTGTCTTGAAGCCTTTGTTTCTTTTGTCCTGTGTGCACTTTTTTTTTTTAAAATAAAAAAAAAAAATTAAATAGATGAGAGAAGGGGACTTGACCTTTGGATTTTATCAAATCAAAAAGACTTTTATCACTTGTCTAGCACATAGTATATAATAAATATTTTATTTTATTTTTATTTATTTAAATTGCACACACATTGCATGTGTCAATAATTAATATATATGTGTGTGTGTGTGAGTGTGTTAGTTGGCTTTTTTATGCCAATGGATTTAATTTTGGTACATGGAAAGGATGAAAAACTGAGAATTTCTCATTATTATGGTTAGTTCATTGCAATGATAGATGAGATGTGGGGACTTGAACTTTGGATTTTATCAAATAAAAAAAAGACTCTTATCACTTGGCTAACACATAATATATAATAAATATGTTATTTTTATTTTTTTATTTGAATTGTATATGCATCGCATGTATCAACCGCTAGTATATATATGTGAGTGTGTGTGTGTTGGCTATTTATGCCAATAGATTTAATTTTGGTACATGTAAAGGATGAAAAATTAACAGTTCCTCATTATTATGGTTAGTTCATTGCAATGAAAGTGGAATATAATTGAGAGTAATGCTAGAGATCCCAAATATTCTACCAAAAGTTTTACCAAATGTCTCACATGGGTGTGGGACCCACACAATGTGGGTCCCATGTGGGTCCCACACCCATGTAAGATATTTGGTAAAACTTTTGGTAGAATTTTTGGGACCTCTAGCATTTTTGTATAATTGAAGGTTCATTATTTAGTCTTCTTACAAAATGACCATTCATTTATAATAGTAAATGATATTTTCATCATCTTTTTGGCGAACCAAATATGAAAATAGACATCTTAATAGAATGATACAACTTACGAGAATTAAGTCCATGGTTTTCATTCTTAAAGTCCAAACAAAATACAGCTATTCTCCTTATTTTCATTCTGTTGTTTTGAAAGAAATGTGGGGATTGTCAAACCAAAAACAAAACAAAACAAAACAAGAAATGTGAACCCAAAATCAACGGATAGAAAAGTATAGGACAAAAACAATCAAATGTAACATTGTGCAAATTTGGCTCTAATGGATAAGACAAGGGAGGGAAAAACAAATGGAAAACATTCTGTTATCCATTTTACCAAATTTTCCTTTCAATCAAACAATGGAGTCGAGAGAAGACTTAAGGAAAGTGGCACCACAAAGCGCCGCTGTCTCCACAATGTAATGTATTATTATGTGTAGAACTCACTACTCTTTTCACTGCCAATGCACTACTGGTACTATTCTTCTTCAACCCACCACTACCACCAACCAACTCACACTATAGCTTTGTCCACAGACTCTGTTGTGTGTTCTATTCTTCTTGTTTAGTCTTTTTCTTTCTTTTTCTTTTTTTTTTAATTATTATTTTTTAATTTTTTTTGGGGAAATTCTTTTTTCTTTTCTTTCCTTGTCAGCAAATAATGGTATTTTATGCATGTAATTCCACCATTAATTTCTATGAGATCCATGTGAGTCTCATAGAAGGGGGTGTTTGTTTGGGCTTTTTTGAGTCCACTTATAGTTTTTAGATTTGAAAAAGTTATTTTGGACTATTTGATTAAACTTATTTCAAACAGCTTTTGATTCTAACTTGTTTTTAACTCAAAAAAGCTAATTCTGAGAAATTGCTCACCCTTACTTCTAATTATTAGTTTCTGCTGTGGACATGTTAATTTACGATTATACTATTAGATTTTTTTATTTTTTATTTTTTTTAAAAAATAGAAAAATACCCAAATGGACTATAGATTATTATTATTATTATTATTATTATTATTATTATTATTATTATTATTATTATTATTATTTATGAGAAATGTAGACAAGTAGTGAATAATAAAAAATAAGAGTTAATTGATGAAGTTAATTCACAACTTATTTAACAAACATTATCCAGCAACTTAAATCTATAATCTAACAGCTAAACAAAATAGATTAACAGTTTTTGATTAAAGTCATAATTTATAATCTATTAAATTATAATTTATAATTTGTTTTAACAGTTACATCAAACGGGGCCGAAATCAATGGTGGTGGTGGTGAGTTGTGACATTGCCATATCAGTGCTAGTAGCATTGAATACCTACTCTTTATTTAGAGTATTGCTAAAGAAAAATGATCAAGACCCCCTTTCCTCCACCCCTTTGACCCCCTCTCTTTCTGATTGGTCAATTTTTTTTTTATTCTCTTCCAATCACCACCCGTCACGTGTGTATGAAAAGTGATAGAGATTATGATTGAGGGGGTCTCAATCCCCAATTTAAACGATATACTATTTCCTTCAAAACAAAAAGTGAGTGGAGTGCATGTGAAATGAAGGTGACCCGGACGAGAACATACTATTTCCGTCAAAACAAAAAGTGAGTGGAGTGCATGTGAAATGAAGGTGACCCGGACGAGAACATACTATTTCCGTCAAAACAAAAAGTGAGTGGAGTGCATGTGAAATGAAGGTGACCCGGACGAGAACATACTATTTCCGTCAAAACAAAAAGTGAGTGGAGTGCATGTGAAATGAGGGTGACCCTGCCGAGAATATACTAAAACAAAAAGTGAGTGGAGTGCATGTGCAATGTGTCTCTATTAATCAATCTCTCTCTCTCTCCAGTCTCCGCATTCACCCCACATCCCAACCCCTTCTCTTCTCCAACCTTCATCCTAGGTTACCATCTACTCTTTAAATCCAGATTTTGTTGGGTTGGGAGGGGGTGGGTTTGAATTCAATTGAAGTAGCACAGTTTCATAATGGAAGTGCCTGTTGTGTCCTTCATTATCAAAAGACTTGGAGTTTTGTTAACTGAAGAAGCAAAATTCTTATACGGAGTAAGCGACCAAGTTGAACAAATCCAAGTCGAGTTGAATCGAATGCAATGCTTCTTACAAGACGCAGATTATGCAATACAATCTGATCTTGTAGATGCGAGGGTCAACAACTGGCTTGCGGAAATCAGAAAACTTGCTTATGAAACTGAAGACATCCTCGAAACTTTTGTCATCCAAGTTTCATCCAAAAGAAACAAAAAGGGTTTCCGAAACACCCTTAAAAGATTCGCTTGCATCTTCAACGAATGGCTAGACGTTCACAGGGTCGGAAGTGAGATCGGTGCCATTAAAAACAAGATCACTGACCTCACCGCTAGTTTACATACTTACGGCTTGAAAAGTATAGGTGAGCCAGTTCAAGTGGTGATTTTAAATTTAAGTTTTTATTTATTAATAATTTCAATTATTGTTATATTTTTATTTAAAGTATATTTTTTCTCTTTTGAGATGCAAAATTATTACTAATTAAAATTTGAAATTTAAATTATGTTAATATATTCCATTACTCTTTCGTGTGACATAGTCAATTTTAGGAAAGAATAATATTTCATATTTTAATTTTTCAGGAAAATTTAGGAGAAATTAAAATGACATCTCTCTACAAATTTGTGTAAGGATAACAATAATTTACTTGGTAGTTAAAATTCTTGAGATTTTAAATCTTTAAATAATAATGACCACTTTAACATATATATAGTACAAAAAGCCCTCACGATCATAACATCGTTTCTCTATAGTGTGATCTTTTCAGTGGCTGATGTGATTTTAAAATTTAATAACTTTTTATTTATATCTCAATTTTTTTGTAAAATTTATAATTTTAGAAATTTCATTTCTTAGTCTAACTTAGTGATCAAAATTTCACTGACTAATCAAAATTTCATCAACATGTCTCAGGTCAACAAAATTTCGTTAACCTTTTGTTTTTGAAATTTTATATTCATCATGGATCCTGTTTTACAGATTTTGATGAAACAATCAAAAAAAATACAATTTTTATAAATAGGAAAAAGATCTAGATCAAAAGTTATACAATTTTGAAATTTTTATAAATGAATTAAAAAAGTAATAGGTGATATATGAAGCGGTACAGTGAGAGTATTTCACTGTATATTTTGGAGGACCTATATTACTATAAAAAATTGTATTGTCCTTGTCCTAAAAAAATATTACTAGAAATCATAAACAAAAAATCCCGTAAATTTATGGAAACATGTAAAAATAATATTTCACAATTTCAACCTCCACTTTTTTTAATATATATTTTATGAGTAATGATTCATCCCCTTTTCCCCCACCCCTTTGACCCCTCTCTCTCTCATTGGTTACCTTTTCTTTTTCTTTTTCTTTTTTTTCCTGCTCCACCAATCACCCCTTGCCACGTGGCAAGGGGGTGAGGGGGTGACCCCAAAAGGGGGTCCCAAGCATTATTCATATTTTATAAAGGATGTATTATTATATGGTGAAAAATGATTCAAAAAACAGAATTTTTATATACAAAATTCATACAAATTATGTGACACTGTTATTTTTGGACAATAAAATGAGCATTGTTTTCCTCTTTAAAATGAAAGAATCACAAAAGAAAAAGAAAAAAAAATCATTTTATGTGAGTTTTTTATATGAAAATTATATTTGTACAACATTATTATTGAATATCGATCTCTAGAAAGACTAAACTAATACTGCCGTAGGTGAAGGCATAAGAAGTTCGGCAGCTGAGAAGCAACAAGAATTGAGGCAATCATATCAGCATGTTGTTGAAGAGGATTTTGTTGGGTTTGAGGAAGACTTGAACAAGGTTGTGAAACATTTGGTGCAAGTTGATGTCTATACTCCTAGTCGAGTTGTCTCTATTTGCGGCATGGGTGGTTTGGGGAAGACCACTCTAGCTAAAAAAGTATATCATCACAAAGATGTCAAGAATCATTTTCATTGTTTGGCATGGGTATGCATATCTCAGCAATACCAAACAAGAGATATTCTGCAAAGAATCTTCATCAAACTTGTTCCAGAGGGGAAGAAAGAGGTTGTCAGGATGAGAAATTTGTTCAACAGACTACAATCGAACAACTTACATCTGTCCAACAGACTACAATCGAACAAGTGCAATTTGTTTAGATTACTACGGTCAAACTTTTTCATTTAATTCAACTCTGTACTACCGAACAGTTATACTTTTTTTTTTTCAGAACAGTGTTGAGCAACACTACCGACGACGTCTTGATGAGTGTTTTCAGCAATGGTGTTCACCGGTGTGAATAGAGAATGGAGGGGGAGATGAATATCGTGGGTGTAGGGTGTGTGGCTGTGTGGGGGTAAGATGGAACTTTGTGTGTATATTGTTGTGGGTGGGTGTGTGAGTAAGGGTAAATATATAAATTTGTGGTGTGTGATGAGAAAAATATTTATTTTTACAAATTATTTTTGGTGTGCCTTTAGAAGTGATTTGCCTTGAGAGAGAAAGTGGTGTGTAAATAAGGCCTCTCAAAATTTAATATCCAAACGCAATCTCAATTTACAATTAGATATCTTTTGTTTAAATGTGCCCCATATTGTTTTTAATAAAAAAAATCATCATGATTATTTCAAGGTGGGTTTTACCTATGTAGAAAAATAGGAAGTGTTTTAGTGGGCAGGCTAAATTAGTAATTAACCACCACCCTATGCCACATTTTTTATTTTTTTTATGGGTCGAATGACACATTTAAGCAGGCAATTTGGCCTTAGAAATAAAGAATCCACACTCTAAAAAGAAACCTGACCTACCAAGGCCTGTGGGATTCTAATTTTGACCAAGGCTTTTCTGCCACAGTCCATTATGACAATACCAATAAAAGTGAGTGAGCTTTTGACATTTATTAAATTCCAGTGACTATAATAAAATATTTGATTTAATTTGCAGTTTCAAAAATAATAAGCCATAGTAGAGACATTAGGGCTTAGTTTAGGTGTGGTCTCTAGGTTTTTTTAACAAAATAATTAGAATGAAAAATGAGAAATAAAATAAATAAAGGGAAAATTACATTAATCTCTATTAAAGTTTTAAAAAAAAAAAAATATGAAACCCCACTAATTTGATAAAATTATATTATGCTCTCTTACAACTTTAATTCACATAACACATAGGCGATTTAATTCAATCATTTGTTAATTGTATAGATAAAAAAAATAGTATTATCATCTTTTTTACATTTAGATGTATATTTTACAATTTATTATCCATTTGTTTACACACTACCCATATTAGTTTTAATTACTTTAGAGTTATTTAAAGGAAAGTCAGTATAGTTATATCAAATATATTAGATTTATTGTATTTTTTTCAAATCTCAACAATAGCCAATCTAATTTACCCCTAAATAAAAAAAATTTAAAAATTGATAATTGATGAAAAAATTAAAAGGGGCACATAAGATCCATTCAAATTATATGTATAAAAATGCATACAGATGAAGATATTGTTAACCTACCATCTATATTATATGAACTAAGGTTAAGTAGCTTAAATTGGGGAAATAATAGAAGTTCTAAAAGTCTCTAAAATAAATTAAAAAAATCTATGGAAATTCTTTTTTGAACATAGTAATTTGGGAAAATTCTCAACACTCTCCCTCTTATTTGGTTGGGAAAATTACAAAAAAATTAAATTAAAATAAAATAAAAATACAATGTTTACTTGCATGTAAATTACTTTCATTTCCATCACTTTACAATTATTTTGCATATATACCATTTTAATTTATTTATTTTTTGCAATTGTCCCTATTTAGTTTCTATTCCTTTTTTGCATCTACTTTAGAAGGTCTAAATCATTTGGTTGTCTATTTTATGAAAATCTTCACATACTCTCAAAACAAGTGGAGGTGGATTTTCCCTCTACCTATCTTGACATTAAAGCAACAATAATCCTGTTAAACAAACACCAAAATGATAGAACAGGACATGTAATGATGTACAAGGGACCACTTTTGAAATTTCCTTGTTATTTTCATAAAAATCTCTTTAATTAGTAAAACAAAAGATTCACTGGGTTAGGAAGAAAAGGTTTCAAATGTGTGATTATTGTTAATAGTTCTTTGATCACATGGATCCCTCAATTATCTCCTAACTTTCTAATCACCCCAAAAAAACAAAAAATCTTTACTTTCAATGGTTAAAACAAAATTTACTTATAGGTGTTTGTAAAATAGACTGTCGGTTTATTTTTTAATTAATTTTTTAATCTAGATAAACTTGATATAAACATAATTCCCCTTTAATTGTTAGAAAATTACTGGATTTACAACTATTATGATTACATCTATAAGCTTCCCTAATGTTATATACAAGTATAAAATAATACTATAAACACAAACTCATATGGAATGCTATTTAGTTAGAGCATTTGGTTTGTCAACGGAAACAATAAATATGAATTTTCTTTTAAAAAAAGAAAAAGAAGAAGATATAATGGCCTATTTTAAGATAATTAAAAGCTGATTTTTTGATTTTTTGATTTTTGAAAAAACGTGTAAAAAAATATGAGAATTGGTATATCCCAAAATGAGTTAAAAGCTGATTTTTGATTTTTTTTTTTAACTCTTTCCAAAAGGGCTCAATATGCTTAATAAGCACATTTTTTCAGAGATTGGAAGGGTGGGAAGTGATCGTAGGTAAAAAAAACACACTAATAAATGAGGCCTCGTTCGGGAACAGGCTAATTTAGTAATTTTTTGGTTATTTGGCTAAAATATGAGTTAAAAAAAGTAGTATGTTTGGGATAATTTTTTGGCTTTTTACGAAAAGAAGTGCAAAAAATAGAGAGAAAAGAGAATCTTTGATTTTTTGGTATGAATTTTTGACTTTTTGGCTAATTTAGTAATTTTTTGACTAAAACGAAGGGTTCCCAAACGAGGTCTAAGTCCTAAACAATCTATTTGTAAAAACACAAGTTGCTATGACAAATGTAAAAAAGATAGGGAATTGTTGGACTTGTAGGGGTTTACCACGGGTCCCGTTTCAATAATCCGAGCCGTTTAATGTATATAACTCATTGAGTACTATATATTAATAGAAAATCACGTTGATCGGATATCGATAGCTATGTGATCAAATTAGTTTTGTATGAAAAAAATGGACGGTTAAAAATAAACGGCATACAAAAATCTGATTTAATCACATAGCTATTGATATTCTATCAGCGTGATTTGTTACAGACATATAGTACTCGATAAGGTCTACATATTGATGGTTTGGATTATGGAACCGGAGAAAAACCATTGCTCAAAAGATGTATCCGTCTACAAACGTGTGAGAAGTATACTCTGACCATCAGATTCCTCAATGGAACCATCACTTGTTTTCTTAAACAAAATTATTTCCTTTACAAACTTATCTAAATCATTGATTTGTGTAGGTTTGATGTGACTATATATAAATCAATAACTTGAATATATTTATGACATAGCAGAATTAATGTCGGTAACCAGCGTGTTGAGGATGAGGAATGCTAACTACGACAAAGGGGTAAAATTTTTGACTTTAGATGGGGGAGGGGGGCCTTCTCACATGCCCATTTTCACTCACCTTCAAAGCCTAATGATTTTGTTCTCCACTAAGCCCATAAGCGTTAATTGTGATGGAAAAAGGGCTCATTTCTTAATCCTCTGTGATTGAGTGAGTGAGTGAGAGAGAGAGAGAGAGAGAGAGAGAGAGGGGGAGAGAGGGGAGTGATTGTGAAGTCAAACAGTAGGGATTGCTTATTGGTGGTGTGCTGTTTGGACTCTGCACTAGCCCCATACATGTAGGCCATGTTTTTTTGTACGGTGATGGTATATGGCTCTAATTCTAAATGGAGTTTTAGAGAGGTGGAAGAAAGAGAGAGTAGAGAGAGAGAGAGATAGATAGAGGAGTGTGGGTCTGACTTTCACATATACACTCTTTATATCATTAGAGCTGCATTAGAACTCTCAAATTAGAACTCTCAAATATTATTCTTCATAAAATTATTATCTTAAATTCAAACTAAAACCACGGGGTGGGGATCTAGTGGAGTTTCGTCCTTCTTAAATATAGAATGTTTAGGTTTTGGGAGATGCGCTTTTCTTTAGAAAACTGCGTTTTACTCATGTTGCAAAGTTTTAAGACCTTTATTGTGGAGCGGGTGTAGAGACCACTGTTACTCTGGTGGGGATTTCCTTTCTTTAAGTTGAGTTAAATCTGATTGTTAACCGGTTACATCGAGATCAGGACCTGCAGGAGTTATGATGCTGCCGCGGAGCTTCTTTTTTCCTTGTTCAAAAAAAAAAAAAAAGAATTAAAACTAAAACAAAACATATATATATTCGAAATTTAAATTTGACATAATGTAAACAGATTAAATATGATATACATATTTTAATTTTTTAGTACCCTTAAATATTTGTCTAGGTATATAACATTGTTGTTTTTTTTATAAAAAATTTATAATGGTAATGTTAGTGCTGGAAAAAATTATTCAAAAAGTGGTTAAAAAATAAAATGTAGAGACTAAATTCATCATTAATGTACTGACAGTACATTACATTAAGGCCAAGTTTGGTAAGACTAAATAAGTGTACTTTTTGACTTTTTATGAAATATGGGTTGGATTTGGGTTGGGTTTGAAGTGATGTGTTAGAGAGGTGATGTGACTTAAATAAGATGATGTGACTTAAATAGGATAGTGACTTTTTGACTTTTTAGATTTTTTGGAGAATGCCAAACTTGGCCTAAATTTAAATTTAAATTTATACTATATATTTTATTTTTTTATCCATTTTCAAATAATTTTGCCTCCGTTTGGGAAGTGGGTTGGCTTTTTGGTTTTTTTAACTATTTTAGCCTGGGCTAAAAAGCTTGGTTTGGGAAGAGTTTTTTGGCTTTTTTGACTTTTTTTGTGAGAGAAGAGTGTAATAATTATGGGTTGAATGTGATGTTTTGTTTTTTGTGTCTAAAATAGCCTATTTTGTCTTTTGTGACTAAAATAGCAAAAAAAATCCGAAAAAGCCCTTCCCAAACGGACCCATTTATGATTCCCTAATTTTTTCCACATTGTAAATTTCATGATCAATTAAAAAAAAAAAAGAATTCAAACTAAAACAAAATATATATATATTCGAAATTTAAATTTGACATAATGTAAACAGATTAAATATGATATACATATTTTAATTTTTTAGTACCCTTAAATATTTGTCTAGGTATATAACATTGTTGTTTTTTTTTTATAAAAAATTTATGATGGCAATGTTAGTGTTGGAAAAAATTATTCAAAAAGTGGTTAAAAAATAAAATGTAGAGACTAAATTCATCATTAATGTACTGACAGTACATTACATTAAGGCCAAGTTTGGTAAGACTAAATAAGTGTACTTTTTGACTTTTTATGAAATATGGGTTGGATTTGGGTTGGGTTTGAAGTGATGTGTTAGAGAGGTGATGTGACTTAAATAAGATGATGTGACTTAAATAGGATAGTGACTTTTTGACTTTTTAGATTTTTTGGAGAATGCCAAACTTGGCCTAAATTTAAATTTAAATTTATACTATATATTTTATTTTTTTATCCATTTTCAAATAATTTTGCCTCCGTTTGGGAAGTGGGTTGGCTTTTTGGCTTTTTTGGCTATTTTAGCCTGAGCTAAAAAGCTTGGTTTGGGAAGGGCTTTTTGACTTTTTGGCTTTTTTGACTTTTTTTGTGAGAGAAGAGTGTAATGATTATGGGTTGGATGTGATGTTTTGTTTTTTGTGTCTAAAATAGCCTATTTTGTCTTTTGTGACTAAAATAACCAAAAAAATCCGAAAAAGCCCTTCCCAAACGGAACCATTTATGATTCTCTAATTTTTTCCGCATTGTAAATTTCATGATCAATTCAATCCTACCATAATTTTTAAATAGGCCCACCACCACTTCTTTTTCTTTGCATCACAGCATCTTGGATCTTCTCTTAAGAGCTCTTTTTGTCCTTTTGGCTTTGGTTCATTATCTTATTCAGTTGTTCACTTACCATATTAGATTTTATTCCTACAGTTTTATCAATATAACTTTGGACACGTGGCACATTAACAGTAGCCTGTGGCCAGACTGATCAGAAAGTTGTCTAAGTGGATTGAGTGATTTATTTTATAAAATTAAAAGTATAATAGTTAAAAATTGAGGGTGTAAAAATTACATAAAAAACCATTTCAAGATCATTTAAAAAAAATAATAAATCACTATGAGAAATTCGAACTCATTTGTACTAAAAAACATACCTTTTGGTAAGCTTTATTATCAACAACTTGAATTTTTGACAATCAATAAATAAAAGAAGATGTTGTATTGTGTAGCGATAAAACTCAAACCCTGATATCGCATTTATACTATATATTATAGTAAAATAATAGTTTAATAAGAAGTCAAACCCTGATATCGCATTTATACTATATATTATAGTAAAATAATAGTTTAATAAGAAGTCTTATGAGAATTTCAATACCTCATATTAAAATAATGAATTTTTTTACATTATAATATATATATATTAAAACTATATATATTCAAAAGTATTTTTTTCATTGATTCTACTTAAGAGAATCCGAAAAGTTTAAATTAAAAGTAAATAAAAAATAATAGTTTAAACTGACAAAGGGGTTGGAGTATAAGTGAGGTGAGTCCTACCCATGTCATGTTTGATTAAGAAATGTGCGGGGAGGGGATTCGTATTCCTATTGGAGGAGTACTCCTACACTATGACTGGACTAGCAATGCTGAAAAGACATGGGATTAAGATTCAATGCTATGGGATTAATGGGTGAAAGATTATTTTATCCCTTAGTTTATATGACTACGCTAATGGAATAGGATAATTATGAAATTTCATAAGTTTAATGTCAATCAAAAAAATAGGACTCACACAATGTGAGACTCATACACATTTGTTTGACGGATTAAGTTGGATAAAGTTATGAATACGGTGGGATTGGGTGAGAAAATTAGTAATGTGATAGTATAAAGTTAGAGATATAAGATAAAGTGTGTTTGTTTGAAGAGTAATGTGATGGTATTAGTTGATTGGAATTAAATCTATGAAATTATATAAAAGCCCTTATTACATAAAATAAAATAAAAAGAAAAAAGAAAGAAGAAGAAGAGATTTTAGTGTGTTTGATAAATAGAGGGCGAAATAGACATTTTGCTTCAATCGAGGGAATTAGATTAGCTATCCCACCCTCTCCATGGAAATGCTAATCCTAGGATTAGTAGTCACATGGGACTCATAGTCCCTTAGCATGTAGCACAATCAATCATGGATTTGGTGGGACCAGCGAAATTATTAATCTAATCTCACCACTTAAGAGGCTAAATAAACATAAATTTCACTATTTAAATTAATAAAAAATAAATTACAAATACATCTACTGATATTTATTAAAATATAGAGTTTTCCCTCACATTTGAAAATTGACATCCCTAGTCATTGAGATTTCCAATCAAATAACAAATGGTCCATCTGTTAATCAACTGTAAAGTTAAACTAACAAAGTATCTAATGCAAGGAACAATTTTTTTTTTCAAAAATACCTTATAAAATTAAACACTTTATTTTCTCTTTTCGTTTTTCTTATCTCTCCTTTTTTATTTCTCATTTTCTTTTAACTAGTAATACTACTTTGCCCAGTCATTGTATAACGATTCTGATTTAGACTCGACCCATTTATTTGATTGTGAATCTGAGAATCCATGTACTTAACTGTTGTTCATCTATTTTCCATCATAATACTTGTTGAGTTTAGCTGTTGAGAGTTTTAGTTGTATTTGAAATAGGTTAGAAAGTCAGTTTTTTAATAAGTTGTTGCCCAAATTTTTGCCTGTTCACTTGAGCGATGCTTTTTGCACTCGAGTGGTCTTTTATAGTCTGTAAAACTGCTGAGAGTGTAATATCTGCGCTCGAGCGATCTTTTACAATCTACAAAACTATTAAGAGATGGTCATTGTGCGCTCGAACGGTGGTTTTGGTCGCTCAAGCAGTGTCACTTATCGTGTCTGTTCGCTCTAGCGGTGTTTTGGTCGTTCGAGTGGTCTGTGCATATATTAGTCCAAGAGGAAGCCATTTCAGTCACTTTTTCATCTCTTTCTCTCTCTAAATATTTCAAAACCCTAGATCTTCACTCTCTCTCTCTCTAGTTCTTGAACTCTAGCTACAAATACTCTCAATTCGTGAGTTTCCTTACCCTAGACCTTTGGAAAAAAACGTTGAGCACGTTGAGGGCTTCACTTTAATTGGAGCATTTAGTGCTTTTGACTCCGTCAAATTCTATCCATTGTTTCTTCATGTCTTCTACTTTGTAGTAGGAATTTCTTTGACTCTTTTATATGATTTTTAGCTTAGTTATTTGCTCTTTGAAAATGGTTATTTATTTAGGAATTTTTGGTAAAACCTAGGGTTTGGTTTAAAATCAAAATAGGATTTTTTTTTTCCTTTCCAAATTGATTCTTGAAAATGTTTGTGAGAAGATGGTTATGGATGAGTTGTGTTGAAATGATGGAAATCTTTTCTTAAAATTGATTTTGTAAGAAAAAAGGGTTTTGCCCTAATTTTGGATATTTGGAATTGTGAAAGGATAATGGAAAATGATATTGGATATTGTGAAATTGGAATAATAGTTATGTTGATGATGATGGTGGAGTTGGATATGTAATATCGCTCCTATTGTAGCTGATGAAAATGTATCTTTTGATTGGAATTTATCTATTGAATAGAAATATCTGTTTTGGATTATCGATGGAGGATAGTCTTGATTGTTGTAGACTTTGCATGAAGATTAGGTTGAATTGAAACTAATTTCTCATATATTGTGCATTAAGCATCATTCCATATTGAACATTGTAAATGTATTGGTTTTTGAGAAAAATATGGATGAATACTTTGGTGAATCTAGTGAGGGAGTGTGGTTGTGGTTATGATGTTGGTCTATGTGTCCTTAGTAAAAGTCTAAAAACCTATGCGGTTAGGTGTCGATCCTTCCGGTTGGTACTGGTAAAATGGCTTTGGTAATGCTTGTATAGCCTACTAGCAAACATGTACTTAGAGATTCTTAATGTTTTGTATCAACTGCCCTGTTTTATGTATAAAATGATTATTTTCATGAATTGATTTATATTCTGGCATTGCATTGTTTTGAGATAGAAAACGAAGAATATTTGACAAATGGCATGCATGTGCATTCACTTTATAATTTTGTTAAGATTCATATGCAGTGTTAGAGTATCTCTACTGGGTTTTGGCTCACCTTATATGGAAAACAACTTTCAGGTGCTGATTATATGCCTCTGCCAAGGACATAGCTTGGGAGGACTCGGAGCTTAAGGCTTTCTTTTTGGTTTCTTGATATAATTATTTTGTTTAAGCCTCGGGCTTTATTTATATTGAGTTTAAACTCATTTTGTTACAACCAAGTATCGTCTTGGAAAGTTGTAGCCATTACGGCATCACCTTATTTGGTTTTTTATTTCTTTTTCTTTTTTTCCTCTTGTATCCATGCCATATGCTATGGATTCAAAATCTAGGATTTGTGAATATATATTGCATATGCCATCTTCTGTACTGATTAAAGATATAATGAATAGAAAATATGAGACTGTTGATCAACTGTAGCACTGTTATGAGTTGGATTAATGTTAATTATTTTGGGGCGTTACAACTTGGTATCAGAACTAACAGGTTTGAATATTTTGGGAGTGGGAAGTGGTTGTTGCCACAAATAGATTCTCTTGCTAGATAATTTTAAAAATACACCTGGCATTCTATGTGATAACATACTTATGTGACTAAATTAGTATGAGATTTAATTTCTTAGATATTGATTGGGTCTACGAGTTCTAGAAGTCCTGTTAGAAGAGCACTTGATCACTACTATTTCTAACTAGAACTCTGGCAATGTCGTGGGACGGTTATTATCTAGAAATGAAGTTAGTTTGTGTTTATGTGATTAGGTGCTTATGTTGAGTGAATTATTTGTTGTCCACAGCTTTAAGACGTGAGTGAATTAGCTTCAGTACATTTGTGAATGTGCTAATCCATTGTGTTACCTTATTAGGATCTCAGGAGATGGTGGTGGTGGGCGTGGTAGGCCTAGGAGGCAAGAGGTGCCGCTATTAGATGTAATTCTGGCACGAGAGGAAGGAGTTGGTCAGGCCAACGTGGCCGAGCCACCAGGTCAGCAAGTCATAGGTGCTTTGGCTTGGGAAATGGCTGGCGCTTTAAGGAAATCCATGGACATTCTCAGGGTTGAGAATCAAGTCCAGGCCCATGTTGCCAAGACAGGGCCATCATTTCTGAAGAGGGAGCTCTTCCGGTTGAATCCAGATGAGTTTTTTGAGGACTTGAAGGAGCCACTGAAGGTGGATGAGTGGCTAGGGCAAATACTAAAGACGTTTTTCGGGGACCCAAAAGAGCCACTAAAGGCAAATGAGTGGCTAGAGTAGATGTTGAAGACGTCTGAGATTCTTGGCATCGTGGACAATGGCTTGAGAGTGTCCTTGGTATCCTTCCAACCAAAGGGAGATGCGAGTCAGTGGTGGGCGTATACGTGGGGGCATATTCGGGTGACTTGGGAAGCCCTTGTCAACGTCTTCCATAACAAGTTCTTACCTCTCACTACTAGGGAGAAGTTGAGAGATTAGTTCTCGAAGCTCAAACAACTGAACACGCTTGTAGCAGAGTTTGAGACAGCTTTTACTAGCATCTCTAGATTTGCACCAGAGCTTGTGGCGACAAGGAATGCCGTTGCATCGAGTTTGAGAAGAGGCTGAGGACCAGGCTCATTTTCAAGGTGGTCAGGTCTATGATCAGGGATTACGGACATCTAGAGGTGGTGACCGTGATTCAGACGGAAGAAAAGAGGATGAGAGGTTCTAAGTAAGGAAGTCAGGAGGTTCTGGGGGAGACATAGGACAACAAGAAGCAAAGGAGTTGTACTCCATAACAGTCCCAGGCAGCTCAATTCAGATCTACTTTTCCTGTACCGAGTTATGGTTCAAGAAAGAGTAGTTAGGGTGGGATCACTTGTTTTAAGTATGGTCAGCTGGGCCATAAGTCTCTAATTTGCCCACAAAAAAGAGGAGGAGGGTAGCAGTCTGCGCCGTCTGCGGCTCGTTTACAGAGCTAGAGTTAGGGGAGAGGGTAGCCACTTACCTGTTATCAGCGTAGGTAGTCGAGGCACTTGAAGAGGTTTTGCCCTCAGATAAGTGGCACACCTAGTGCATCTGGTTCGAGGCAGACACAGAACCATCAGCCTACTCTAGTCGGTACAGGTCTCAAGGGCCACTCAGGGAGCCTCTTCGACTTAGTCAGTTTCCTAGTCTTATGCTCCAAGGGGTGAGCAAATAGAGCAGAGACCTACTGAGCGTATGTATGTTGTTACTACGCCGAATCAGTTGCCAACATCCTCTATTTTGAGAGGTAACTTTTTGTTGTTCAATTCGATTGCTAATGTATTGATTGATATTGGTGCATCTCATTCCTTCATTTCGTCTGCATTCGTATCAATTTTGGGGTTAAAAGTGGCTCAGTTAGTGTCTTCGCTCAGGGTAGAGTCTCTAGTTTGGGGTAAGGTTAACTTGGACTGGGGATATCGTGGTTGTGAGATAAAGGTTGCCGGGCGCCAACTTCCATTTGCATTTGTGTTATTAGACATGTCGGGTTTTGACGCCATTTTAGGCATAGATTGGTTGTCTTCGTATTGTGCCGTTATTGATTGTTACCATCAGAGAGTTACAACGTGCACCTCGAGTGGTGACTATTTTTACTTTTTAGGGGACCGAGTTAATAGAGTCTTATCGCCATTTAATGACCCTTGTGGTAGGAGCGAGTTTAGTTGTCTTCTTACAACCCTTTTGGGAAGTGAGGGTGATGAGGTCTGAGTTGTATTGCCGATGGTAGTTTGTAAATACTTGGATGTCTTTCTCGAGGATCTTACTAGTACCTAGAACGACACCGATTTCTATGGCACCGTATAGATTTGCACCTGCCGAATTGCATGAGTTGAAAATTCAACACCAAGAGCTATTAGAGAAGGGCTTCATTCGCCTTAGTACATCTCCTTTGGGAGCGCCGACTCTCTTTGCTAAGAAGAAGGATGAAACTTTACAATTGTGTATTGATTACCGGAAGCTGAACTGGGTGACTGTTAAGAACAAGTACCCATTATCTTGTATAGATGATTTGTTTGACCAGTTGAAGGGGTCTTATTGTTTCTCCAAGATTGACTTGAGATCAGGTTATCACCAGTTGAGGGTGAAGGAAGAGGATCTTCAGAAAATAGCATTCTGTACGCAGTATGGCTATTACGAGTTCTTAGTGATGCCTTTTGGGCTAACCAATGCATCGGCTTCATTTATGGATTTGATGAATTGAATCTTCCGTGAGTTCTTAGACCATTTTGTAGTTGTCTTTGTTGACAACATTTTGATATACTCATATTCCGAGGAGGAACACGAGGAATACTTGCGGGTTGTACTTGAGTTCCTTAGAGCCCATTATTTGTATGCTAAGTTCGGGAAGTGTGAGTTTTGGTTAAAAGAAGTTAAATTCTTAGGCCATGTAGCATTCGAAAAAGGAGTGATCGTAGACTCTTCTAAGATAGAGACAGTGCAAGATTAGGAACAATTTAAGAATGCCTTTGAGATCTAGAGTTTTTTGGGCTTAGTCGGGTATTACTGATGTTTTGTGAAAGACTGCTCTAGACTAGCCTCACCATTGACTAGATTGATGAGGAAGGGGATGAAATTTGTGTGGAGTGAGACTTGTGAAAAGTTGTTCCAACAGCTTAAGGTTAAACTCACCACTGCTCCAGTATCAATTATCCCAGAGAGGGGTTTGGGCTATTCTGTTTATTGTGATGCGTCACGGGAAAGTTTGGGTTGTGTGTTGATGCAAAAGGAGAATGTGGTAGCATACAGTTCGTAGTAATTGAAAACTCATGAGAGAAACTATCCTACTCACGACCTAGAACTAACAGCAAATGCCGTTGCATCGAGTTTGAGAAGAGGCTGAGGACCAGGCTCATTTTCAAGGTGGTCAGGTCTATGATCAGGGATTACGGACATCTAGAGGTGGTGACCGTGATTCAGACGGAAGAAAAGAGGATGAGAGGTTCTAAGTAAGGAAGTCAGGAGGTTCTGGGGGAGACATAGGACAACAAGAAGCAAAGGAGTTGTACTCCATAACAGTCCCAGGCAGCTCAATTCAGATCTACTTTTCCTGTACCGAGTTCTGGTTCAAGAAAGAGTAGTTAGGGTGGGATCACTTGTTTTAAGTATGGTCAGCTGGGCCATAAGTCTCTAATTTGCCCACAAAAAAGAGGAGGAGGGTAGCAGTCTGCGCCGTCTGCGGCTCGTTTACAGAGCTAGAGTTAGGGGAGAGGGTAGCCACTTACCTGTTATCAGCGTAGGTAGTCGAGGCACTTGAAGAGGTTTTGCCCTCAGATAAGTGGCACACCTAGTGCATCTGGTTCGAGGCAAACACAGAACCATCAGCCTACTCCAATCGGTACAGTTCTCAAGGGCCACTCAGGGAGCCTCTTCGACTTAGTCAGTTTCCTAGTCTTATGCTCCAAGGGGTGAGCAAATAGAGTAGAGACCTACTGAGCGTATGTATGTTGTTACTACGCCGAATCAATTGCCAACATCCTCTATTTTGAGAGGTAACTTTTTGTTGTTCAATTCAATTGCAAATGTATTGATTGATATTGGTGCATCTCATTCCTTCATTTCGTCTGCATTCGTATCAATTTTGGGGTTAAAAGTGGCTCAGTTAGTGTCTTCGCTCAGGGTAGAGTCTCTAGTTTGGGGTAAGGTTAACTTGGACTGGGGATATCGTGGTTGTGAGATAAAGGTTGCCGGGCGCCAACTTCCATTTGCATTTGTGTTATTAGACATGTCGGGTTTTGACGCCATTTTAGGCATAGATTGGTTGTCTTCGTATTGTGCCGTTATTGATTGTTACCATCAGAGAGTTACAACGTGCACCTCGAGTGGTGACTATTTTTACTTTTTAGGGGACCGAGTTAATAGAGTCTTATCGCCATTTAATGACCCTTGTGGTAGGAGCGAGTTTAGTTGTCTTCTTACAACCCTTTTGGGAAGTGAGGGTGATGAGGTCTGAGTTGTATTGCCGATGGTAGTTTGTAAATACTTGGATGTCTTTCTCGAGGATCTTACTAGTACCTAGAACGACACCGATTTCTATGGCACCGTATAGATTTGCACCTGCCGAATTGCATGAGTTGAAAATTCAACACCAAGAGCTATTAGAGAAGGGCTTCATTCGCCTTAGTACATCTCCTTTGGGAGATGAAACTTTACAATTGTGTATTGATTACCAGAAGCTGAATTGGGTGACTGTTAAGAACAAGTACCCATTATCTTGTATAGATGATTTGTTTGACCAGTTGAAGGGGTCTTATTGTTTCTCCAAGATTGACTTGAGATCAGGTTATCACCAGTTGAGGGTGAAGGAAGAGGATCTTCAGAAAATAGCATTCTGTACGCAGTATGGCTATTACGAGTTCTTAGTGATGCCTTTTGGGCTAACCAATGCATCGGCTTCATTTATGGATTTGATGAATTGAATCTTCCGTGAGTTCTTAGACCATTTTGTAGTTGTCTTTGTTGACAACATTTTGATATACTCATATTCCGAGGAGGAACACGAGGAATACTTGCGGGTTGTACTTGAGTTCCTTAGAGCCCATTATTTGTATGCTAAGTTCGGGAAGTGTGAGTTTTGGTTAAAAGAAGTTAAATTCTTAGGCCATGTAGCATTCGAAAAAGGAGTGATCGTAGACTCTTCTAAGATAGAGACAGTGCAAGATTAGGAACAATTTAAGAATGCCTTTGAGATCTAGAGTTTTTTGGGCTTAGTCGGGTATTACTGATGTTTTGTGAAAGACTGCTCTAGACTAGCCTCACCATTGACTAGATTGATGAGGAAGGGGATGAAATTTGTGTGGAGTGAGACTTGTGAAAAGTTGTTCCAACAGCTTAAGGTTAAACTCACCACTGCTCCAGTATCAATTATCCCAGAGAGGGGTTTGGGCTATTCTGTTTATTGTGATGCGTCACGGGAAAGTTTGGGTTGTGTGTTGATGCAAAAGGAGAATGTGGTAGCATACAGTTCGTAGTAATTGAAAACTCATGAGAGAAACTATCCTACTCACGACCTAGAACTAACAGCAATGATTTTTGCCTTAAAGATCAGGAGGCGTTATTTATATGGTGAGATATTCGAGGTGTTTTCTGATCATAAAAGTTTGAAGTATTGAATTCGAGACAGAGGAGGTAGATAACGTTTATGAAGGATTATGATTTTGAGTTGCACTATCATCCGGGGAAAGCCAATATAGTGGCCGACGCCTTGAATAAGAAATTTGTAAGCAATATAGCTAGTATTATCATCTGAGAATAGGAGATATTGGGTATTGTTG